GTATACAATAACTACTTATTACCGGTAAAGCAAAAATTTCAAAACTTTATTTATCAGATCTAATCAAGAATTAATTCTTTTGTTTGATAGAAAAATTTTTGATTGATTGAACAAACTAATTTGTAAGCTGTAAAAAAAGTAAAACAAATTCAGTTTATTACCAATTTCAAGGTTGAATTAATTTCAAAACCACGAAAAATTTTTATCGAACAAAAAAAAAACATTTTTCAAATTAAAGAAGGCAATTAAACTTTTGAGAAAAATTTTAACCAAATTTTAGAAATTTTTCCGATTTGTGTTAAAAATAGAAAATATTAAAAACTAAAATTTTGTTAATTTTGAAGCAGTGAATCTGAAGAAAACCTCATTGTCACTAAAATTCTAATAAAAAAATTATATTATTGTGCTTCTCATTTGTATGATTAATTTTGGCTTATTAGATTATGATAGACTGTCTGTGACATGTTGGATTTTAGTAGACAACAAGTTATTCTTCTGTGACACATGCCAGATTTTTCCGAGGCATCACTTTCCAGGAACACAATAAACACTACTTTTTTCTTTCCTAACCACAACTAGAAGAGACATTGCTGACAACTTGCAAAATTTTTGAAAATAATCTTAAAACTTAGTTAGTATAAGTTGAAAATTTAAATAATCCAAGAAAGACACCATTTTGAACGCCGGTTGTAGGTTTTTCAAAGTTATTAGAAAAATAGCGTTCTAGCATTTTATTCTTACAAAAACTACCAAATCATAAGATAGGAAAATGATTCATATGCAACGCCGAATGATTAAAATTTGCTATCAAATCAATGTGATCTCGAAAATTCAAAAATTTATAGCTAATATTCAAGAAATGGCTGTTATTTCGAGTTTTCTAAATCATATTTACTTCTCAGATTTTCTGACAGAGAAGTGGACTTTCATACAAAACCACAAGAAGCTCAAAAACCGTCGGGATTGGATTTAAGGAGGCACAAATTTTATTTGCTAATAAGAGTATAAATGCTATAGTTTACAATTATGCACTTAAAAAGTGAACTCTGTATATTTTGACCTAATCTAGCAACATTCAACAATATTCATTCAATTTTTTTCAGTATTAAATAATTTTATTAAATAAACATAATAAATTTGTAGCTAAAAATTTAATGCAAAAAATAAAATAAAAAATTTTCATCCCAATGGTACTAAAATCATATTTCCTCTTATACACTCAAAATATTGCTTGAAAACTTAAAATATGTAAGTACATATGTGCACGTATGTATTTCGCCTTAAAAACAAATCATATTACATATTTATTGGTCCCAACAAAATCTCTTCTAAAATTAATTGCGTTTTTCATCATATTATATAACATAAAATCCTTAAACATAATATTCCCAAATTGTTAATTCATTTTAAATTGCATGTCTTATATAATTCCTTATAATACGTCCATATAATCCATACAAAAAATAAAAACCAAACGAAAATGTTTACAATACTGTAAATGCAATTTACAGTTATTATGAAATACAAGTATATGTATAATCTTATCTATATGTACTCGTATATGTTATTTTTGCAATAAGATAAGCAGACTTTCATTTATTTTCATCTTATTCCCTTTTTTTTTACTTTTCGCCTTTGTGTAGCGAAATTTCAAAGGAATTATTAAACCATATAACAAGTTTGTACACAAGTAAAAGCAAATTTTACGAAAGTTTATTTTCTTTCTATCCTATACTTAAGTTCGGGAAATTTGTGTAGGAAATTTATAAGTTTTATCCTTTATCCTCAAGTTAAAAATAAATTTTAAAATTATGTAATAATGTTATTCTTTGTCCATTCGTAACCTTATAAAGTATCCTATAATTTTTAATATAATTTTTAGCACCATTACATACGTTTATTGTTAACATTAATGTAGCGAATTTTATAAATTTTGAAATGGTAAAGTTTCTGTAATTTGATTAGTTAACATTTTTCATATGACTACGAGTGTTAATAACCGTATATAATACGGATTTTTTCTAGAATTACAATCAAATAATATATAAAATGTTTAATTTATGAAATAAACTCCTGATTTTATAAAGGAACGATGGAAAAAAGCTGTATGAAATGTAGAAAAATTAAATTATTTTAAGTACATATGCATAAAATTTAGTGAAAATTAATTTAATATGACTTAAAATAGTTGCAGTTGCGTTCGAATGCCGAATAGAAGCATTTCAATTTAATCACTCGAAATGAAAGAATATTTGTGGACCACACCACAAATACCATTTTAATATTTTAAAAAATTTTACCTCAATACGACCACTTAACCATAATACGAATGCTATGGTTACTTAACTCGTAACATGACTAAAATTGAAATTATGGATGAGCGGTTTTCAAAATTTTAAAATATTAAAAACAATGAATTTGTGAACACCTATTGTAATTTTCTCAAACTACCTAAACCTATTTCGTATTTTCTTATTTTAATTTAAATAAAAAAAGAAAATTTTAGTATATTTTTGTTATGGTCATAGTTCTTATACGTTCCGATATGAGCAACTTATTTATATAGAACAAATACACATACCACATATAGTTACACACTGGTCCAATACATTTTAGTTTTAATGTTAGAGTAATGTGAAAACTAAAAAAATGTTAAACAAGAAAATCAGTTTGAGACTGCTGTTACAATTATTCAGGTATAACAAATAAAGCAAATTTAAAAAATTTATAGAGGCCAACAAAAATGATGTTGGAATCATAGTTTTAAAGCACTTTAAAATAATGTGGATTTTTTTTAGAATATTCAATGTAAAGAAAAAAATGTTTCAAAATTTTTGACTTTAAGAATTCGCCTTTGAATTTATTAATCTTGATTATTATTCTGCATGTTAGGTTGCTTAAATCGAAATAATAAAACCAAAATGTTACAATATTTAAATTTTCCATATTCAAATTAATAATTCAGCAAATCTCAATTCAATAGTATTCGGAGGATAGACAAAAATCTAACAAAACAACACAACAATCTGGAGCTTTAAATCTTCAAATCTAAAAATTAAAAAAAAAATTTAACATTACTTACTATAGAAACTATTTTGACGTGCCTTTCTTTATTTTTATGAAAATATAATATTATTAGTCGTCAAGCGGGGGACTTGATCAATTTCGAGCAACTCAAATTGTAAAATAACTCCATCTCTTAAATTATACATATTGTATGGATATATAATACAGAACTGTATAATAAATCTCGTAATTAAATCATTTCATAACATTTAATTATAATGATAATCGTCATTTTGAGTTTAATTAACTTTTTCAGACTAGATCTATCAAAAATTTAATGATTAAAATAAGGAAAATCCAAGAAATAAATAAAATGTTAATTAAAAATAAATTTTGTGATAAGAATTCTTAAGTAGTAGAATTATCGAAAGAAAATAATATATTAAGAATCATCTGTTCAGTACAAAACTAATTGATCCCAAAAACGTTCAAGTGATCATAAGGTGAAGATCAACTAATTATGAGATTTCTTTTAATAAGTGCCATAATAATCAAGATGTCACAAAATGACCATTATAATAACATTTTAATCATATATAAATAAAATTTGAAATCAAGTTTAAACTGGTTCGTGCTTTTTTTTTTCTTTCCCGAGCAGAAGGAGAGAACTTTGAAAAATATTGTCGAACAAACAATCAATAGCTTGACACTCAGTCTAACTATTGACTTGACAGACCAACCAACTAAAATCATTCACGATAAATTTACCAGGGAGGATTATTACGCCATTTATTTTGATTGAAGCTTGTTAAATTGTCAATGCTTACAAAAACCAATTAGAGAAATTTACTTAACTAAAGTAATAATAACATGATGTCCAGTTTTATATTTCATTTTTAATTCAACGCAAGAACACATCAAAGGCTCTACGTAATTTATATATGAATTCATTTGTATTCTGTCTTCTTTTGCTGCATTATCATCAAATATGAGCATCGAAACTCAAATGTCGTAAATCGTAAAAGTAAATATTAACGAAAGAATAAAACAAAAAGTTTAAATCTTTTACCTATAAAATTAAAAATACTATACATTTTCAGATGTCCAGAGCTTATAATAAAATTTTTAATGCTGGACATAATAGCTTGTACCATATAACTAAAATAATATTTAAATTTCGCCAAAATATTGTCGATAACCTTTTTTGACCCAATAAACATTTATGACCCAATATACATACATATGTATATGCAAAAACATATATATAAATATTTAGTGTTTTAATATTTTGCCCCTTACCTAAACTCACAAAGTGATAACATGATTAAAATTCTTGTAAGTAAGTATATTTACAAAATAAAAATAAATAAGGAAGTTCCCTTTAAACTGCAGAGTGGGGTATTTTTTGAATAGAAATTATCACTTTAAATGTCTTATATAGAGAATATACAGAAAAGAATGAGCATGCTATCACTGTCAATAAATATTGAGTAAACAATGATTATAATATAGGAATTCTCTAAGTATAAAAGCTCTTTAGAACTGTTAAAATTTTGTCATTCCGAACAGAATATATAAAGTGTTCAAAAGTGTACGAAATATTTCAAAACAGAAAATCACGTAAAGTAGTCAATACATTAAAAATTTTAAGGAAAATGTATAAACTTTCAATTGTTTTATTAACTCTCGCAACTTTTTGTTATGGATATGATTTCAAAGATTCAATTTTCAGTAATTATAATAATTTTTCTTTAAAAATCTATAATCTGGTCTATATCTAATAAATTTTGTTCTTTTCATATAGATGAATATTTATTTGAGGAACTAAAAGACACGGTCTTGAGTGAACCTCAATTTAGGTTCAAAAGGAATGCTCCACAAGTACAACATGGACAATATAGAGGAGCAGGTTGCTGTAAATCAGATAAGGTTAATCCAGCCAATGTAGAATTAATGAAGAATATCAAAACAGAATGTCATAAGGAAATAGGAGATCGTAATAACCACAATATTTTTAATATTAATTTTGAAAAAAATAATATTCATAATTTATTCAATATAATATAAAAATATTTTAGTGAATTTTGTAATTGATCCATTTGATTGTGAAAGTGCAAAGAAATTGAAGCAAAATCTTATCTGTATGACTGAGTGCTCAGCTAAGAAATGGAATGTGGTTAATGATAATGGTGAATTAGATCGTAATAAGATGATTGAAAAATTAAAAAGTAGTTTTACCGAAGAACAATGGAAATTAGAAAAAACTGAAGAAATTGTTGATAAATGTTTGGTTGAAGCAAAAGAGAAATTAACAAATGAAAAAAATGAATGTAGTCAAGAAGCATTAACAATGCTTCATTGTATTTGGAAGGAATTTAATCAATATTGTCCAAAAGATTTACAAGTCGATTCAGTCAAATGTAATAAACTACGTGAAAAAATTACTAAAAATGATGAAGCCTATTTAAGATTGGCTCATTTTCACCAACTTATTCATATGTATCAAAAAGAAGAATAATGCAGTGTCAAAAACTTTTGTTTTTTGAATTATAACATCAAATACTATGAATATTTTATTATTGAAATATAAATCTTATAAATGATTTTATAAACAGCATGAAGAAAGATATCTTTGAATCAGTAAGGCTCTTGTTAATAAACTTACTTAATTAAAAATTAACAATGTTTTAGTATTTGAATTTAATAGTTCCAATCAACTAAGAATCTCTTAACTAACGATCTCTTATTATAAACTTAGTACAACTTGCATTTAGAACTTCTATTTATAATTATATTTTAGAGAGTATAAGTGAAATAGTATGCTCTATCTCATAAAAAAAAAATACTATTTCATTTACAAGTTCTAACGAAGCACATGGTAATAACATACAGAACTGCGAACATTATTATAATCAAATCATAATAGAGAGCCATAAGATTAATGAATATTAATGATAAATATAAAAAAAAAAACTTGCATAATGGCTGCAAGTGATTCTGCATATAAAAAGTTTAAACATATAACAAATTCTACTGATTAGTCTACAAAAACATTTTTGCTAAAATTTAAAATTTTATCAAAAACCTACGATATTTTACATAGTAAATTATACGCAACAAAAAATAATTTTATAACGTAAACGATTTCATAATCAATAGAGTTTAACTTTCAAACCCATAGGCTCTAATATATGTACGTACGTACAGTGCAAACAATACAAATTACATAAAATCATTCTCTGCCTTTTAATTTAAGCAAAGCAAAAAGGAAATAATTATAAGTAAAAAATTTTTCAAATAACCAGGACCTCCTTCAAATAATATAGCAATTTTACATTGTATGGCATTTAAGGGTCAGTTGATTAAAAGGAAAATTTTAAATATCTCTTTTTTCAATTTCATTTCTATATAATATATACAATGCTTCAGCTTAACTCTAGAATTCATTAAAACTTCAAAGAAATTTTGCTATATTAAAATCAATGAATAAAAGTCAGTGTTCCAAAATCTTTTTTCCCTTGCTAAAGAGAATTTGCATTAATGGAATTATTGAAAGTTCTTATTAAATAGTTTTTTATTTCATACCGGAAAATTCGGCCTTTAAAATCGAAAAACAATAAAATATTTTTTAAATTAGAAATTATTATACAATGTTATTATATTAAATACTGTATAGTTGCTATATGTATTTTTCTCTTGAGAGAGTAGTAAATTATTCATATTTTATGTTAACTCTCTATGACATAAATTTTACTCTATTGTCCGCCAACATGTTTCATTGTCGGTAATCGACCCTCTAAAATTTTCTAGGAACTAAATAAAAATGACGGTTTATTAAGTTTAAAACACAAAATTACATTAAATATAACTACCTGATATTTAGTTAGTAATTAATATTAGCAAAAGAAAAATGTTAAAATCTAAGTTTCATCCATGAAGTTTAGGCAAATTGGAAAATGATGACATCTATTGAGACAACATTAAAAATTGAAGAGAAACATACCCCGATATTTTCTATTTTTCGCGTAAATAATTGACAATCACTGATATAAATACACCTATATAACGCCCTTAAGTGGAAATTCAATCAAATTACTACTTCTTAATTAAATTTTTCTCTGTCAAGTATATTTGATACTTTTTAAATCAATATCAAAATCAAATATAACTATGATTTTTCTTTTTCTAAGTTTTCACAAAACAGTCAGAAATTTGTTCTTCAATAAAAAGGTTCTTACTTAAACTATTTTTAACTAGTAACGACGGAACTACTCATCTTTTCATTATTAAATACCATTTAAAACTCAATTCAAAAAATTCTCTATAAAACGTTAAAAAAAGAATTGGTAAAATAAAAAATATGCTTTTCAAACCAATTCCAGTACAATGTCCAGAAAAATTTTCATTTCCACGTCAATGTATTGCATTGAAATTTAATGGATCTTGGCCATTAGATGGAAAAAAAGATATTTTTTCGATTTTATATTTATCTTTATCTTGGTACATCATCTTTAGTGTTGGTCTAACAATATATTTTCAATTTGAATATTTAGTTTATATATTCGGTGATATTATGAAAACAACTGAAAATTGTTGTACAACATTCATGGGTGCTATGAATTTTGTACGTATATTACATATGCGTCTATATAATAATGATCTAAAAGAATTAATTGATGATTTTACTCATAAAATATGGATACCAACGTAAGTTAAACATTAATTAGAATTTTGTAATTAAAGAAAAATTTATTTTCAATTAAATGACAAATATTGCATATATTTAGGAGTAGTGTTTGAAATATGATTTTTTTTTTTTTGTAAACGAATAAAACATTACTTTTGCTTTAATTTTGTAAATCTCTGAAATTCTATAAAATGTAATGGAAAAATCAAAGCCCGACGAAGGAGCGATGTAATATGATCCGTGAACCGAGCGAATGCAAAAATTCGTAATTTCTTTTCAACTTCATTTTAAAAACGGTTTGGGGAACTGAAACGATAAAAATTTTTGAAATTACACCTCATTTATCCGAATTATTATGATGCCGAATTAATCAGAGCTAGTTTCTATGCCTGAAATCAGAGCTAGCTCCAGATTTCAGACATAGAATACAAAATTTACAAAAGATGCTTACAAATCTCTTTGAATTATCTATAATGTAAGCTTAAATAAATGAATCAGATTTATTAGGGTAAAAAAAATATTATTTTTAAATAAATTCCAATAATTTATTCAAATAACTTTTATTATTTTAAATATTTCAGTGGCAAACATAAAAAAATCGAAAGACATATTGAACATAATATGATTATATTCCGTGGTCAGTCAGTTCTAATGATACTCTTAATAAGTTTATATTGTACCATGCCAATTGTTGAATTGTTATTTTTAAATTCGGAATTAGATGAAAAACCGTTCCCATATAAAATGATATTCTTTTATGATGCTCAAAAACCAATATATCGTTATGTATTAACATATATTTTTACGGCAATGGCTGGTGTTGCTGTTGTTACAACATTATTTGCTGAAGACAGTTTATTTGGTTATTTTGTTAATCATTGTTGTGGTCAATTTCAAATATTAGGGGAAGAAGTTGCTAAAGTTATGCCACGTGGATATGAGAACAGTTTAAAAAAATATGGAAGTAATGGATTAACAGAAGCTTTGGTTCAACGTGAATATAATTATGAATTACATAAGATCGCAAAACGACATAGTACACTAATAGAGTAAGAATAAAATTGTCAATTTGCTTTTGGTTAATAAATTTAAAAAAAATTTCTTTTTCAGATTTTGTGATAAATTAGATAAATTTTATAGCCCAATTATGTTGGCGAACTTCTTAATAAGTTCAGTTCTCATTTGTATGGTGGGATTTCAAATTGTTACTGTGAGTTAATTTAATTAAATTTAAATTAAAAACTACTAATATTTATAATAAGCATATTTAAAAAAACGTTTTCTTTAACTTATAGTTTTCCCTGTCCGAAGCAATACTTGTAATCGCTATTTAAACCAATTATCAAGATTCAATCTGCTCAAATTTTGCTTATATTTTGGTTTCGAATAAAAAAGAAAGAAATTTCTTTTCAAATAAATAAATAAATTTCTTTCCATTTGAAATAATCAACAAAATTAGTAATATTTCGTGCCGTTGGGCAGGTCTTGGATCTCTACAACATTCTTTGAAAAATATTGTATTAATTAACCGTTTTAGAACTTTTGTTCAAAAATTTTATTGAAAATTAACCCTTAAGCACCCACTGTAATAAAAGTACATAAAATAATTTATTGCTCCAGGAGGGAGAAATGTAGAATTTATATTGAATATATTTAGATATTGAATATATCTATGTAATTCCTTTCCAAAATTGACAAAATTTAATATTCATAACAGCTATTGTCTTACATAAAACAGTTCATAATTTTTGTCAAAGCACCTACTTATACCGCATTTATTACTCCTTATTTAAATAAAATTTTATTAATATAAAAACTTGAAAAAAAAAGGATTATTTCTTTTTTTATTCTAGGGTAAAATGTTCATTGGAGATCTTTTAAAATTCATAGTTTATATAATATCAAGTTGTTCTCAGCTTTTTGTACTCTGCTGGAATAGTGATGCATTAATTCAAAATGTATGTAACTTTTCTTATAAATATCAATTTTTAAAATTATTTTTTTTTTGCTACACGCAAATTATAAGTTAAAATTTTTTTCAGGAACAAGGTATCCGATACAAATTATCTGATGCCTTGTTCATAGAAAATATATTACATATTCCCGAAGCAAGACAGTGAAATGACTAATAATTTGAACATGAAATAATAACGGGCATTTTTCTTGTTTCCTCCCTTATTTTCGAGCTATTCAGCCATAAAAGTGAAAAGTATCCTTTTTTGCAATTTGTCTTAATTTTCTGAAATTTTCACCAAGAAGATAGCACCAACTTAGTAAATTCATTTTAAGTCCAAAAAATTTATCTTTTTAGCAATGTGCCGCTGACAAAAAAAAAAAATATTAATATTTCATTAACGAACAATTTTCAGTAAAAATAAAAAAGAGATATTTAAGAGAGCCTTTTAGAGTAAGAATATCCGTAAAACCCAATAACTTCTAAATTATAACTGAAAAAGTAAAAATATGTTCCCTATTATTTTTTGTTCACTTGATTTCACTGTCGCATCTTTGGCACTCTGTATACTAGAATATATTTTTTATATTTCCTTTAATACAGTCTTTGGAAATATCATGGAATTTTTATTCTTGCAATTGGGAAGGAGGGAATATCATTAATGATTATGATAAAACATACAACAATTCAAACCGAGATAATCCAAGTCAAATAAGAACAAGTTTATATGGTGGTAAAAGCAGCTTTAATATTTTAAAAAATTCAAATGTTATTAACGAAACAAATGGAACTTTTGAAATAGATGAAGAGACACCTAAGCAAAATTTACAACGTTTTTACTATCCTGGTGGAGCAATTTTTAACAAAAAATTAACATTTATGATTATGAGATCACAAAAACCATGCAAAATAACTGCAATGAAATTTAGTGTAGTATCACTTCAAAGTTTTAGAGCAGTAAGTATTTGCATACATACATATACTCGTCTCATAGCATGCATGTATACCCATGAAATTATAGAGCAAAAAATATTTATCGAACGATATAGAAAGTACTTATTAATTTTTAGGATTTTCTTCAAAGAGTTGAGTTTACTTTCGATGTTAGTTAAATGTTAAAAGCTGGAAATGCATTCAATTTAATGTTAAGTTATTTGATTCAAGAAATTTTACCAGACCACTATGATTTTTCAAATAACAATTTAAAATGTTCCAAAAGAGAAGGAGGGAATATCATAATATTTTTATATTATTGTAGATTCCCTCTACAAAAACAGGATGGGAAAACAATCCTCTGCCACCCTTGGCTTATTGGATTCTCCCCATACTCGTATCTAAATTATTTCAATAAGTAGTATATATTCGTTCAAAAATATTCCTACCTATCCAAATAATTGAATATAAGCTCTTCAACATTGAAAAAGCCTTATTCAAAATATTTGTGCCCAAGAGCTATACAAGATATGTCTGCAGTCTCTTTACTACTCCGCATAACTTACACAAATGGGGTTAGGATTAATCCTATTTGTGTATATTTTATGCCCAGTGAAGAAGTAAGAAGTACCACAAAATCGATTTTTACTCATTTTCAAAAGATACCAAGATAATTTCCTTGAGTATAACGGGAGTACAAAATTAGCAAAATGGCATTACTGCGCTCCTCTTCAGCGAAGGTTCAATTCCCTTTGAAGCAAGACATCAAGTTTACTCTTAATAATAGGCATGGTCCAGCTGTAGGAGGAAAATTATCATTTTAGTTTATATACAAAATATAATGAATAACATAATAACAATATTTCATAAATTTTTTCCAATTTTAACACCACTTCTTTTTAATGATTTATTTTAGATTATGGGAACATCAATGTCTTATTTTACGTTACTTCAGTCGCTTATTGAATAAATATCGAAATCATTCACCCTAAATATGAAGTTCTAACTTTGAAGAATAAAGTTCTGCACAGAATTTTATAAAATATTTAATTTTTTGCACCTACTTAACCTAAATAATACAGAAATTTACAACTACAAATAAAGTTTTACATTAAATTGAATTTAATTAAAATTACTTTAAAAAATAATTTTCTATACTCAAAGGAAGAAATCAAGATTCCAGAATTAAAAACCATTCAAGACCAAAAGGAAATATGTATTAGACAAGCTATGTACAGACACACAATTACAACCAACAATGATATTATTTTCAAGTCTCGAATAAAAAAGATATAGGCAAAAAAGAACAGGTTATCACATACATATGACGTTTAATGAAACGGCATAGTCGTTCAAATTCATGGTTTGTAAAATAGCACATTTCCTTTTCGTAATTTAAGCCTAGAACTTAAATTTTTGAAAGGAAATGTAGAAGAAAATGTGAAAGAAAGAAATAAAGCTAAGCAATGAAAACAACCAATTGAAATAATTTTATTATTACTATAAAATTTTTCGTAAAATGGGAGAAACCTAAAAAGTAATAGTTTTTGAAAATTTATTATTAATAATAAGCTTGAATTTTATTGCTAATTATTGTGATTAATCTAAGAGAAAAATAACCAGTTTGAAATAACGATCAATTTGAAAATGAAATTCCAAAACTTTGTGGTAACAGAAGTGATTCGCAGCATTTCTACGTCAAAAAAACTTACAAATTGTTTGCCCGCTTAAAACATAGTAGTTTGTCAAAAAGTTGTATTTGCATTACTTCGAACTTAACTTATTACTTAGAGAATATGGTGAATAAGAAAACATGTTATTCTGAAGAAATATGCCATTACTAAAACATATTTGCCTACAAAATTTTATCTTTGTAATTTGAACGCCGTAGAAATGTTACAAAGAGACTTACAGATGCGGAACGACAAATTGTATTTGGAAGTGAACCAAAAATAAACTGATGATAGGATGTGAAATATAAATTACGCATATACATATATGTATGTGTAAATTATTAGAAGGAGTGGTTAGGTTTTTTTTTACCGACCGCATTGCATATAATAAGGGAGGTTGTGTGATGGTACCAAATTTCGCATATCAAATTTTTGGTCGAAATAAACTTTTCATGCCTGTCTGGTTGTCAGTCTACTGGTTAAATTGTTTGTGTAGATCTAAATCTTAAATTGGGCTGAACCGATTTTCAAGAAAATTTACATCTGAGCTTATAGTTTGACGAAGGTCCGAATTGACTAGCTTTTGCTATATGTCAGATCTTAGATACTGAACATAATTTTTTCATTTTTAATAAAATATTCAACAGGTTTATTTGAACTTTATATATAGACTTCGTCTGGCGGTACGAAAAACCACCTTACTTTTGGAAGAATAAAATGTCAGCAACTAGACTTTTACTACCGGTCAAAATCACATTTTTGCCCATAAACACAGAAATGTAACCAACAAATTTCTTTGAAATTTAATACACGAACTCTGTTAACTACCAAGAATTACTGACGAACTCTTAAGGAAATTCGGATGGAATATAATTAGTCTTTACTGATAGCCAAATTTACATTTTTCTTTAAATTTAAAGAAAAACTTATTAGCGTCGTTAAAATTTTAAAAGAAATAGTTAAGTTCGTTTTCAAAAAATAGTAGTTCCAAACTTAGGTAATATCTTACGGTCGATACGGAGCTGACCACTTCAGATTTTTCTTCTTTTTTTTTCAAAATTTAACATGAATTGAGCGAGATAATTCAAATTCAAATCTTAATCTTTAAAATTTTAATAAATTTGTTATACATAATTCGTCTATATTTTTTGATAATTTGTGAAGTTGAATTCGAATCCAAATATTTTTTATATAATAGTAAATAACAATGATATAAATTTAATTTTTGTTTTATTTTGTATAATAAACAGTTTGTAAGTGTAAGAGTTAAAAATTTAATGTTTTAGTTAACAAAATAAAATTTATATAAAACGCAAAAAATTTCTTCCGATGAATATTAAACAAATACTTAAACTGCAAGCTTTTTTTAATAACAATTTTAACTTTACACTCATACTATATAAGTAGGTTGCTACTCTTCTATTTGTGCGCGAAAAGAAGATTCCAAAGAGTATTAAATTATTAGTTAGTCATTCTTACTTCGACAAAACGTAACAGTCTCGCATAACATTCAAAATTTTTTTGTGACAAAATTGTATTTATTTCCATGTAGCAAAAAAAAAATATGTACATATATTATATGTGAAAATACACAAAAAATAATAAAACTAAAAATAAATACACACTAATATAATTTTCCGAAATATTAACATTTCTTAATAAAAAAATATAAGAAACTCTTTTATTGTAAATAATTAATACTTATGATGCGTATACCCAATAAACCAGTTTTAAGAGCTAATTTACAAAATCAAAATTAAGTAAAAATATGTAGAAAATGAAATATTTATTTTCAGTAAACAAAAATTATTGAATAAAAATCATTATAGAAATTTTAATTATAATAAAATTTTGTGTTAAAAATAAGCGTTATTATAATTTGTTCATTGACCAACATGGCAATGATTAATTTACAAAAATTTTATTTAATGTTATATAGTTTTATAATTATTAGAAAAACATATACATTAGCATATATAACATGCCCCAAGGAAATAATGTTTCAAGTAGGTGTAACTTCAAAATGTGAAGCTGCAAATGGTATGTCAATTCCGTGTGATGGATCTCATAAACTACCAGTAAAAAAGACTTATATAGATTGTACCGAAGGGCATTTTAATGGTGGTCAAGAAATTTTAGAATGTGATTTCAGTACTGGTCAATGGTCACGAAATCCTGTTCGTTGCTTTTCGCATTGTGATGGTGATCCAAATGGTATTGAATTATTTGATGAAAAAACAAAATTCAAATGGTATGCTGAAATTTTAAAAAGGCCGCCAATAAATGGAGAAATAAATGTTTTCCCAGGTGTTATATTAAGTTCAAGATTAATTATGACTTTAGAAAAATTTTTTGATCCAACAATTCAACGGAATTTTGTAAATTATGTTGTACGAATATATAGACCAGGTTCATATCAAGATTATACTGTAGATCGTATAGAATATAAAAAGTGAGTATATATAAATAGATCTAAATACTATATGCGTAATATACGCATATGAATCAGAAAATTATATTGAACTTAAGCGTTTTTCAATAAGCAAAATTGTTAAGGGAAAAAATAGTTTAAACACTGTTAAACTTTTAAGTTCAATGTAAATTTCGATTTCATTTAAATTTCGATTTCATAAAATTTATATATGTTATACTTATTTTGGAAATTGTACTAAATGTTATACGTTACAAACATACACGCACAATTTTTGTTTATATCATAAAAATAAAATAAATATTAATCTAATACATATTAAAAAGAAAACCATTAAATAAATCATATTTTTAGTGATCCTGTGTACCTGAATGATGGAACACCGAAATTCGATCGTATGTGCATGGTAGTATTAAGCCATGAAAACTATATTAAAATAGATGAAATAACAAGACCTACATGCTTAAATTATGCAAGAGAATCGATTTTTAATGAAAACAGATGGTTTATGGAAGTGATGAGAGCAAAACCGGAATACAAGTAGAATTCAAAATTTTATTTAAAAAAATTGCAAATCTTTAATTATTTTAGCTTGCGTCCTGAATATTCAACACAATGCTCAGTACCTCATGTTGATCCAACGATTGATTTATCATGTTATTCAAATTTTAAATCAGACGCGTTAAGAAGATGTCCAAAAACTGTTCCCATTTTACAAACAACTTGCCAAATTGGCTATGAAAAAGTAAATTCAAATGGAAATGATATAGTTTCACTTTGTGTTGGTAACAGATGGACAGTTGATGATCAATTCGATAGTGCTTGTAAATTAATTTGCGGAGAAGCTGGTAGTAATGGAGAACCAGTACCACTTATATTTAAGGGAACGTCTACTGACATCAAAAATGCCCCTTGGCATGTTGGCATTTATTCAAATAATACAAAAGCATCTTCATCATATGAATTAATATGTTCGGGTAGCATAATTCACAGAAACATTGTCATAAGTGCTGCGCATTGTTTTTATAATAAATTATTAAGAAAAACTGATGACCCAAGACAATTTCTTATAGGAGCTGGAAAGCGCTTTTATAGTTATAGAAAATCAGAAAATACTGAACAGTTTGTGCGTGTTCAAGAAATACACACACTACGAACGTAAGATTTTTAACCGAACGTAAGAAGAGTGTAATTTTTCTGTTTTGTTGTCTATTTTTCTTTCAGATATGATACTTCATTGCTAAGAAATGACATTGCAGTACTAGTTGTTACACCTGATTTTACTTTCACTTCAACTGTTAAACCCGTGTGTATTGATTGGACTACATATTGGGATTATGATTTAGAAAATGGAACCGTAGGACACATTTTTGGATGGGGTGCGAATTCTAAAGATGATATCTTAACAATAGAGCTATCGACTGCAAGTTTAAATGCTTTATCAAGTGAAGATTGTAAGCGACTCAATAAAAAAGCTGAAGTATCTGCAGAAAGCTTTTGTGCTGTAAATGATAACGGAGCGAGTGCTTGTAAAGGTGATAGTGGCGGAGGATTTGTTGTTAAAAGAACAATCGGATCGAAAGAACGTTACGTCCTTTGGGGTATAGTAAGTTCCGGTGTTGCAAATGATTACTGTTCTGATGGAGGAATAACTATTTTTACAAATATACAGTATTTTCAAGAAGCAATAAAAGCCATAATTTCTAAAAGTAAACCTTCATTAAGCACTGATAATTTTTCGAAACTACTTTATCATCAAATCTATGCACATATTATATACACACCCTTGAATTGGGCTGAAAAGGAATTGAAATTAAATTTAGCAAATAATCCTTGATTTTGAAAATATTTTTCTATTATACAAAAAAAATTAAAAAAGAAAAATAAACAAATTTTCTATAAATGAAAATAAAATTAATATTATCTGTTACTGAAATCATGTTAAATAGAATCACATGAAAATACTTTTCTTAAAACACAAATTTGTACACACAAAAGCTAGCTATTCTAATTGTCATACCACAATAATATCGTGAAAATTACTATAGAACAATTATTAATTGGAACAAAAACTAAGGGAAGTGCTAACATGAAGGCAGAATTCGACAACTAACTAAAAGAGTTAAACTAAATTATATTTTGCGGTGACAAGGGATGTGCCCATAGTCTTTTACTTTTAAAGAAATTTATACACGATCTAAAAAAGTAGCTAATAAAATTAATATTTCACTTATTTTAAGGAACGATCCTTGGAAAGAAACCGAGGCACAAAAAAATTTGGTATGACAAAATAAAATATTTATTAATTTCTACAAACCATTAAAATTTTACACTTCAACAATGAACCGTCTAAAACTTTAAAAGAAAAACTACACGTCTCCAATATTATACATAATCAGTATGTTTGTAAATTTGTGTAATGTTTGGCTATAATATTCCACAGCAGAATACAGAAGCCGTTTTGTTTTTCTATGATTGCATAATTTAAAAATGTTTATAGTCTGGATACAAAAATCATAAAATGACATTTTTAAAAATTTTAGGGACCATAATTGATATAGGAACGGGGGTATTTAAAGTAAACAAACACACAGACAAACAGGCAGAGCGAAACTAATAAGCACATTTTTTTTTCAATTTTATCATTAATTTATTATATACAATGTATAATACTCTATTCTGACTAAATAATTCTTGTATCTTCAAAAATCTTGCCACAAGTCAAATATAATGTATGAACCTGATTAGCGACTGAACCATAAAAAAAAAAGATTAGTAAGAGTTTAATTAATCATTTTCTCACCTGTCATATAACTTTTGAGAAGATAGCTCTATTTTTTCTTATTTCAAATAAATTTTACCAAAAACTAAAATTTAATGATATGGAAAAAAAGAATGAGAAAAACAACAACTAGTTTAAAAACGTGCTCAGTTCTCACAAAAAAACTTTTTAAAAGAATAAAATAAAAGCTTAAGTATTCAGAATATCATAAAAAATATTCCGATAGTCATGAATTATAATAACAAAAACAGTATATATTTTACCACAGCATTAATTTTCAAAAGCTTATCAAAATTTATTTACTTAAATTTAGCAACAACATTTTTTTTTTGATGAGTTAATTACATACAAACATTGAATTTATAACTTATTTGACCATGTCTCGAAAAAATCGACCCCCAGTTTCAGTTTCTGAACTCCTATAATCTCCGAAAGTTCCAGTTGTTTACTAAAGTATAAAGCATGAATTGAGATTTTGGTAAAAACACTTTATTTAAATCGTGATTTGATTTTATACAAAATATTATTTAATTAAATTTCCTATGTTACAGGTAGTCAAAGAATCGAATCTATGACTTATTTTTGTATAGCCTAAGTGCCCCTTATCGAAAATTCTAAGATTTACAAAAAAATTTTATTAATCTTAATTAATTTGTTTGTTAATTTTGTTGGAATTTAGAAAAAATTAGCCTGCCCTTTTGAAATGCTTTCAACTGAATAAAAGCAAAAAAATCATCTTATATAAAATTCTTTTTATAGGATGTCACATTATTTCTAATATATATATATATATATGTATATGAACGTGTTTTGTAAATAAATTAGCAAAAACTAGAATCCAAGATGCGTGTGTATTTTATAAAATAATTTTAATTGATTGCTTTAACTTTTAAAAACAAACTGGATTTTCTGAATGATTCTCTCTTCTTCAACTAAATTGACGTATGAAATAGCATAAATACATGTGTTGATCGCGCACTTAATAAAAAATTTTGTTTAAAAAGAAACCCGTACGTCAGTTGAGAATATCAATATACTTACATATATAATACCTATACATGTTATATACAATATTACAAATCTATGTAAAATCAATATATTATACTATAAAATTGTAAAACCAGTTATATAGGTAAAAGTAAATAAGCTACAATTACATCTAAATAAAAAAAAAATTGTAAAAATGCTCCTTATTTTCTCCCCTTATTTAAAATTTCGCAATTAATTTAATAATTTGTATACACACTCATATATCACTTATACTAATAAAATATCATATTAACATTGAAATACATATTCACGAGACGTTCTCTTAACCATTTCTGAATCTAAATGCATAGAAAGTAGTATCACATCAAAATAAAAACTCATTAGTATAATATCAATGCATAATATCAAATTTCATTTAGATACAAGGTGTTCGAGACTGAATTCTACTCCACAAGCAGGTTGGTAGAATAAGTACAGACAAACAAAATATAATGCTGAACATTTTTCTTTTTCATCACCTAGAAGAATGAAATTTTTAAAAAGCGTGCATGCAAATTTTGCTAAGAAAATATTATAAGCAGAAAAAATTTTCATAAATTTCCTCTTCTTTTCCTGAGCCTTGACCTCAAGTTTTCGTTTTAGAATTTGCCATATAAATTAGTACATTTTACGATATATTTAGTTTAAAAATGAAAGCAAGAATATCACATAACACTTCTAAAAAGAGCAAATAACGTTAAAGAAAATTGCAAAAAAAGACAAGCCGAAGCCAGTTTACGTTTGCGTAGACTTATTTATTCACTTTATTTCAGGAGTAATATTAAATCTCGGACAACCTGTATATTATATTATTGAAATTATTTTGAAAATTATGAATTTTTTAAAATTCTTCTTAATGTTTTGATTTGGGTAAAACCAAAACGCCAGAAAAATTATAATATAAAAAGAAGATTATATGCTAAAGTTCCATCCAATAAACCGGACTAGTGTGATCTTAAAACTTTAAGTTTATTATTAGATATTTAGCATAGAGTTTATTTTTTTTTTTTAATCATAACTAAAATTCATTGCTAACATGAGGGTTTTCCCGTTGAGTTTGCGAAATAAAAAAATAAATTTTATAAAATTACACAAAAATAATAAGGAGAACTTTATAAAATAATAACTTTAGTAAATACAAACAATCTGTATGTAATAAAACAATTCTCTCTAAAAGAGTTTTTTTTTCACAATATAGATTTTAAAATAGCTAGTAAACTTAGCGCCTGCTCAGTTATACCCATAAACTTTGTAAATAGAAGTCGAATAAACCATAAATAATGAAATAAACAACTATAAGTAAAATTTAATTCAACCAGTTCGATCTATGTAAAGTATTACGGTATATTGAAATTGTAACGACGTTTGTAATACCAAAGAGGAAACCATTTATGATAACATATATTATACATATTTCTTCTTAAAATCGATTTCTAAGTCAATTTAATCATATCTGTTGGCAGGGTCTTTAAAAATAGAAGGGTTTTAAAAAAGAAGGGTTTCAAAAATTTTTATAACTTTTGTTTTAGGAATGATTTTTTTGTAAATCTTTCTTGGGGGATCCTTGGTGCTAAAAAGTTCTAAGAAAAAATTTAAAAATATTAAAATATGTCATTAAAAATGTCTCGCAATTCTCTACAATAGTTTGTTTCAAGATTTTTTAATGAATTATTCAATACAATCAATAACTATGTATAATAAATGGAATCTGAATTAAAATAAGAAAAACTAGTGCAAAAAATCAGTATCTGTCAAATCACTTCCTTCATTTGGAAAACTGAAGTTTGTTGTTTCTAATTTCTACTATCTGTTTGCCTACTAATCTTTCATTTTCAAAAAATCTTCTTTTTTGTTATAGAAAAGGTTTTTGAACGTTTACCATTACTCACTTGTGCCGCTTTTTTAAGTTTGATAACACCACCCCTCAGTAAACTTTTCAGCTCTGTTTGACCGCTCCAAAACTAAATATGTGATTTAAAATGGCAAATATAAATTAAATACAGCAAAGTATTAAATATTAGCACCGTTAAGTATTTGTAATCATAAAAATCGTATAGTTGGCAAAGTTAACTTTATAAATTTCTTTTTCAAAAATAATTTTATTTTTATTTTGTATATAGAGTTGAGTTTTTTTATAACAAGTTTTGTTTTGCGGAAAGCTTGAAAAATAATAAAATTATTACCACTAGTCTAATAATTCTGTTAAAACGAAAGGGACGTTTATCTAAATAATATTTTGTTTTGTTTTAATTCTTTATATTATAAATTTTATTTCAAGAACCCTTATGAACGTTTTTATTTTATTAAAAAACCTATTGTGAATGAAAAAAAAAACGCCTTGTCAATTGTTTTAAAGTTTTTGAACAATAACAATTTTTTCGTGGTTGAAAAATTTAAATTTAATGTGTAAAACTGTAAAAAATAGTAAATATTATTGACAATCTTTAATCAAATAAAATGAGATCGTAGAAATTAAGTAGAATAAATAAGTATTCACAACAAAAAAAACAAGAACTAAAAACTTCAGAAAAATGGAAATCATAAATTTGGGAAAATTCAATTTTATTAGTATATACACCTTATTTCTATTAATATTTATTATAAAACCAACGTTGGGATTGATTTCATGTCCAAAACAATACATTTATCAAATTGGTACTAGAACAATATGTTCATTAGGAAATGATACATCAGTTTCGTGTGACAGTCCATATGTTAAAGATGCTCTAGTATCATGTGCAGATGGTTATTTTAATCATTTACATAAACAATTAATAATATGTGATTTTAATACCGGTAAATGGTCAGAAATTCCATATAGATGTTTTCCACCTTGTTTACCAGGATATCCGGGTGAAAATCCATTATTAGATAAAGAAACATTATTGGGCAATAGAGAAAATAATCGATGGTATGCTGAAATTTTAAGAAGACCACCAATTAACGGTGAACAAAATGTTATTCCAGCTGGTGTTTTATCAGCTAAAATGATTTTCGTATGGGAAAAATATTTTGATCGAAATAGTCAACATGATTTTTCAAATTATCTAGTGCGTGTATATAAAACACGAGCAAATAAATTAGAACCAGAAGATTACAGAATAGAAAGAATTGTATATCTTGATAAGTAAAATAAAAATTAAAAAAAAAAAATTAAATTATTATTATAATTTTTTTTTTAATTTAAAGTGATCCGGTGTATACTAGTGGTGGAACACCTGAACTTGAACGGTTTTGTATATTAATTTTAAGCAAAGAGAAATATATTGAAATAAATCAAGAATTGGGAAATTTTTGTGTTATATATGATGGAAAAACGGAATTATGGGAAAAATATAGATGGTATATTGAAGTTATGAAGGCGAGACCAGAAAATAAGTATTTTTTTTTTAATATTTTTAATATCTTTCATATTAATTTTCCTTTTTTCTTATTTAGTTTAATGCCACAATATCCTGATAAATGTATTGTGCCTCATGTTGAAAAAAGAAAAATTGATATAATGTGCTATTCAAATTTATTGGATGGTCCCTTACCTGAATGTTCACAAACTGCGAATGTTTTACAAACTAAATGTCAAATTGGACATATGAAAAGAAGTTCAATGAATGATGATGTGATATCAGCGTGTGTTGCCGGACGCTGGATTATTGATGATGCTGATGGAAGTGATTGTGAATTAATATGTGGAGAAAGTGAAGAATTTATAAGTGAAACTATTACACCATTAATACATGGCGGTAGACAAGCTACTATAAGAAGAGCACCTTGGCATGCTGGAATTTATACAAATAGCACACAAAAATTACATGAATTAATTTGTGCTGGAAGTATTATACATAGAAATATAGTAATAAGTGCAGCTCATTGCTTTTATGATTCATCCTTAAAAACAATGGGCATTGCTTCGGACTATATTGTAGGAGCTGGAAAACTTTATCATAATTTCAGTAGATCAGAAGATTCTGAACAATTTGTTAGAGTTTCGGAAATACATATTATACGAACGTAAGTAAATTTTGTTTTTAAAAATTAACAAAATAATTATTAATGTTTTTTTTTTTTCAGATATGACAGTCAAAAATTGAAAAATGATGTATCAGTTTTAGTTGTAAATCCTGAATTTATATATAATTCACATGTTAAACCCGTTTGTATTGATTGGACTTCATATTTTGAATATGATCTTAAAAGTGGAACCGTTGGTCATATTTTTGGTTGGGGTGCTACTGATCAAAATAATTTCTTAAGTGAAGAATTACTTACAGTTGATTTTAAAACATTATCAAGTGAACAGTGTAGAAAATTAGATAATAGATCAGAGGCAACAGCTGAAAATTTTTGTGGAACAAATGATAAAGGTGCGACTGCATGTAAAGGAGATAGTGGTGGTGGTTTTGTTGTAAAAAGAACAATAGGTGGTAAAGAACGTTATACATTATGGGGTGTTATTAGTTCGGGTATCGGTTATGAAAGTTATTGTACAGAAAAATCTTTAACTATTTTTACAAATATACAATATTTTCAAGAGCCGATTAAAGCAATAATAACAAAAAGTCGAAGAAAACTAAATTCTGATAAATTAACTAAAATAATATGGCATAAAATATTTGCTCACGATATCTGGGCAGCACCAAATTGGGTAGAAGATGAATTAAATTTAAAATTAACTTCGAATCCAGAGCAAGTGAGATTAATATCAGATATTATAACTTAAATAATTATAAGAATGTGAAATTTTAAATGAAAAAATTTATTGAAATAAGAAATAAATTAATAAAATGTTAAGGAAACTTTTTTTTCTCAAACCTCGTGCCTTTATTTTATACTATTGCCCTTGAATAAAAAATCCAATTTAAATCATTAACAAATGGATGAAAAACGTTTCTATTTTAGCCTTCCTTACAGTTTCACACAAGACTTCAGTCCAATTTATTAAGTGAAAAAAAAATTTTAATCTTAATTTTTTAATTTATTTAAGGTGATATTTTTGATAAATCAAAAAAAACATCTTCTTTCAATTCGCATATCAAATTTGATGTCATAGCTTTATTTTTATTTTTTCTATTATTACTTTTTTCTCTGTAATAAATTTAAAATTCAAATAAAAATTTTTAATCTGTCTGTATGCTTATCCCTAGTTCATTTAATTATCATCTCTGTTAGCAAAAAAAAGAAAAACTGGTTTTAAAAAGTTAAAATCAAAATTTTCATTACACATGATGTGATATTAGCAAAAACTATTATAAAAAATATTGTGAATTCCATGAAAAAAAATTATAATAATTTTAATATTTATTGAAAATCTTATTCACAATTTGATAAAACAAGTTTGGAAATAACATAAAATAACTTGTTTATATCGATATTAACATATTACGGGAAAACCAATCCATTTATTTTGATGTTCTTTAAAAAAAAACCCAACAGATAATAAAATAAATTAAAATTTATTTCTCAGAAGAAGAAAAAATATATTCAAAAACACAATCACCAATCATTTAAGCTAAGCACACATTTTCGAGTTGAATGCTAGTTCAATAAAAGAAATTATTTTTATAATATATAATTATAAAATGTAACATTTCAGGACCTTTTACGTCCATAGAAATCCTGGGGCCTTATTATGTAATCGATTTTCATATTCGGAAAAATGATATGGTCAATCAATTTATATGATATTAGGGGTATACTTTTCATTTCTGAAAAAGCAAAATCGTTTCACGAAAATCGAATTACATAATAAGACACCAGGATTCCGCTTTTCGTTAATTTGCTTCTTAATCATATGAGTTTATGTGTATATATTATGTACGAGAATCTTAACTTCTCTCTCTCGCTCTAAAGAATTTATTCATTTTTGAACTTCAGTTCGAAAGTTTTTACAATTTTTGTTTTATGTTAACTAACAGAGAGATAAGAGTCTCCACGTAACAGTGCAAATTAATCTAACATCGGAGAATTAGAACAATTTTTGAAAAGTTGTGACAAATAATACTGTTATATAAAATATATGCTTCAAAATTTTTTTTTATTTGACTAAAATATATTTGACCTAAACACTAAAGTTTATAATTTAAATATTTACTCGTGCATATTAAAATTTTTATTTATTTTGATAATTAATTTAAATTTTTTTTGTTTTAAAATTATAGCAATAAATATTTCTGGAAAGGACATATCAAGTTTATCAGCTTACAAAGACCAGAGTATAATATTCTTTATATTGCAATGTAAACTCGCCTTAATAATAATTGAGCATAACAAAAAAAAACGACTTATAATTTTGTTCTCTTTCTCTTCTTTTAGTACATTTATTAAATTAGTTAGCATTGTGATTATATTGACTTTTCAATTTATAATTAACATTCAAAGGTTGACAGTGTACGTAAAAGTTTATAATATTGTAATACGCAGAAGCTACCTTATAAAATATTCTGCCTTTTTGAGTGTGATATAAAAAAAAAACAACTTGAATAAAAAATAGCAATAAAAAAAGTTGAATCATTTTTTTCTAAAAAACAGGAATTTTATTTTTAATTTTTTTTAACTTGAAAATAATTCAAAGATATTCAAGAGAATTATCGATGTATTTTTGTTTTATCCTAAAAAATTGTAGTATGTTCTCTACTCTCTAAACAATATAAGATAAAAGAATAAGAAAATTTCAAATATTTAATAAATAGCTATAAGTGTTTTTTTATTAAATTTTTTATGAAATAAACATGTTAAAAAATATTTGCTAAAAAAAAAATTTCAAATGAAAATATGAAGTTATAAAACTGTTTAAAATATAATTTTAATTTTATATTACATACATACATCAAAAATTTATTCTAGATAATAAAAAATATTATATTTTACGTAAAAAATAAAATAAAAAAGATGACGAATACAAAAATTTTAAGTAAATCATTTAAAATTATAATATTCTTGCATACGATTACAATACCAACATTTGGATTAATATCATGTCCTAAAGAATATCTTTTTCAAATTGGTACTGAAACCAAATGTTATTCATCAGATGAAAAATCAATTTCATGTCATAGTCCTGTTGTTAAAAAAGCATCAATTGATTGTAACGATGATTATTTTAATCATTTACATGAACAGGAAATTAAATGTAATTTAAATAATGGTGAATGGTCAAGAGTACCATTACGTTGTTTTCCACCACAAACACCATGTGAAAAACATGAAAATCCCGAAAAAATTGAAATAATTAAAGATAGAACAAAATTTATGCCATGGTATGTTGAAATTTTAAGAAGACCACCAATAAATGGTGAACAAAATGTTTTTCCAGGCGTAATCATAAGTGGTAGAATGATAATGACATCAGAAAAATATTTTAATAAAACATCACAATGGGATCTATTGAATTTTGTTGTACGTGTTTATAAATCAAATTCATATGAAGATCATAGAATTGAACGTATAGAATATCGGCAGAAGTAAATACTTATACGCATATAAAAAATAAAGTAGTTAAACGTAATTCTAAAATATTCATTCCTTTCTTTGATTTCAGTGATCCATTATATTATCATGGTTTTAGAGGACAACTATTCTTTGAACCAATTTGTATTTTAATTTTAACTATTGATAATTATATTAAAATGGATAAAGAAACGCAAACAGCTTGCATTGAATATGAAAAACCATTTTTTGAAGAAAATCGTTGGTTTATAGAAATTATGAAAGCAGTACCAGAAAATAAGTAAAGTGTTATCTCTAAACAAAAAAAAAATGCTTTAAATTAATAAAATCTATAATAAATAAATTAAATTTTTTTTTTTATAGTCTATCACCGGAAAATACTGGTCATTGTATTGTTCCAGAAGTAAATAAACAAAAATATGAACTAATGTGCTATTCAAATTTATCAAACAATTCTTTAACTGAATGCTATGGTACTAGTCCTATGTTACAGGGTATGTGCGCTATTGGATATGAAAAAAAAAATTCCAACACAGAAACAGATGATCCATTATGGTTATGTGTAGGTGGACGTTGGAGTTCAGAAAATGCAAATATTTTAACAAGTGATAGCTGTGAATTGATATGCGGTGAAACAGATAATGATTTAGATTTTGATAGTGATAGTCACGATAATGTTAAAAATGCACCTTGGCATGTCGCTATTTATACAAATTCATCTGAACAATCATATGAACACGAACCAATATGTTCTGGTACTATCATTCATAAAAATATTGTTATTAGCGCAGCACATTGCTTTTATAACATGAAAACTGAACAACCTAATAATCCATCAAATTACTTAGTTGGTGCTGGAAAACGTTTATATAGCTTTAGAAAAACAGAAAAATCTGAACAATTTCTGAAAGTTGCTGATATACAATATCCTCGAATGTAATTTTCTCTTTTTTTTTATTTATTTTTATAATTAAAAATTTATTCTTTTCTTTTTTTACCGAATTTAGGTATAACAAGGCTCATTTAGAAAATGATGTTGCAGTTTTAATATTAAGTTCAAATTTCGTTTATAATTCACTTGTTAAACCAGTTTGTATTGATTGGATATCAAATTGGAATCATGATTTAAAAAATGAAATTGATGGTTTAACTTTTGGATGGCGTATCAAATCAGAAGATGCATCATCAAATGCCGAACTAAAACAAATTAATTTAAAAGCATTAACAAAGGAGCAATGTAAATTGAAAATTGAAAATTCAGAAGTATCTGATGAAATATTTTGTGCAGCAAGTAATATAACTAATGTGATATGTAAAGGTGATAGTGGAGCAGGTTTTGTTGTTAAAAAGCGAATCGGTTCAAAAGAACGCTATGTATTATGGGGTATATTAAGTTCAGAAACTAATAAAGAACTTTATTGTTCAGGTAGTTTAATAAACCTTTTCGCAAATATAAGGCATTTTCAAGATCAAATTAAAACTATTATAAATAGAAATAGATCAAATATAAATAAAAATAAATTATCTGAATTGATTTGGCATCAATTATATGCTCATAATATATTCACAACATTAAGTTGGATAAAAAAAGAATTAAATTTAAGATATCTGCCAAAAGAAATAATAGACGATGGTGAATAGTTTTTTTCTAATACAATAAATAAACATACTTTTTTTTTCCAAACTTTTGTTTTTATTTATACATATGAATCAACGATACAAGATTTAAAACGCTTTAAAAATAATTGTGAAATTTAATAAGAATTTAAAGAACTTAAGTCCTTAGTTTTTTAATAATCAAAATTCAATTAAGTTAATTAAGCAGTTGTCATGGAAAATGCAAAATTAGAATGTTTATCAAAATTAAATTGCAAAAGTAGACAACATTAAAACATTGACAGGCACAGGGTAATTATAAAATTCTACGTGAGTTAACTTTTGAAATTGGATCAAGTTTATTACTCACCGAATTTACATTTTCATTCATATAAAGAGAAATAGACAACCAATTCCCTTAAAATTGAATATTTCAATTCTGATTTTAGAAGCAATGAATTTGTAAATTTTTCAGAAATATTGAAGTTCAAAAACGGACTTTCATTTGAGCTTTGAATGTGAACGAAATTAACTGAGAAGCTTTGCAAGGAAATTATATCGCCGAAAATTAACCTCTACTAAGAGATTTCATATTGCTATAACTTTCATAGAATTTAAATTAAGTGTTTAAAGGACATTTCAATCATATTATGCACTTATTTTAGTAATGCGGTCAGTAATGTGCTAGTCACATTAAATTAGTTTTTCTTATTATTATTCATACAACTTGCTTGTCTAAATACAATTTCAATACTAAAACTTTGTCACTAACAATAAGCCACTAAATATTCGTAATACTGATTATAGCCACAACATATTTCAATAAAACATATTAAATGGATTTCTCATCCATTTTATAAATAAATCGCTTCCATTGAAAATTATTAAAAACAAAACAATAGAACAAAAAATAATTTATAATTCAGACTTCAAGTACTATACTATATGTACTCTATAGCCGCGAAAAATGAATCACAAAAACTCGCCAAATTTATTTTCCTTTTGCCAGATTTATTTTACTATCTTTATACATAAAAAATTTCCCACAAAATCTCATTTTTTCCACAGTCAAGCTGCAAAAATATATTTCATAAATTTGCACATGTATGTACATAAATATATTATATATTATGTGCTGCCCCTTTGCAAATCAGGGTGATAATTAAATCTGTTATAAAAATCAAAAAATCTTTCAGAAATCGAACAACATATTTAAAAATAGCTCAAAAACTTAAAGAAATTCAAAAATCTCTCAATCTCTAATTAATTTTTTCTCTATAAATATCTATACACAATTAATAATATTGCCAAGAAAATTAAAAACCTGATCAAAATAGCAATAAATGATGATAATTATACACAATACAAATTTTAAAACACTTAATCGCAAAAAACCGGCATTTTCAGTAATGAACTTTAAAACAAGATGCTGCAAAGCTCACGAGTAATAAGCTGGTTGGTATTGCTTATACAACACCTACATATACACAATATGTAAAAATTCCAACTGAAAGTAAAAAATTAATTAAGCTTGAATAAAAAAAAAATCAAAAAAGCACATAATGTACACAAACAACACAAAGTTTTAAATCAATTTGTTAAAAACGTAAGACCATATAGGTTTTATAAATTAAGACAATTTTATTTCCATAAAATGTTGTAGATTTGTACGTGTGGGAATTCAGAATTTTCCCAAATAAAATATTATAAATATTTCCAAAGAAATTATTTTTAAATAAATTTTTTAATTAACTAGCGAAATGTAAGATTAAAAACAAACACCAACGTATTGGAGCCTTTGAAATGCTAATTACCTAAAAAAGCTTTTTTTTAATAAATTCTTCTTAATTTCGAAAAATATCATATTTATTTATGTCTTTAAAACTTAAAATTGCAATTTAGTATGTGAAACTCAGAAGAAACTTTGTATATATTGTGTAAGAAGAAAAATGCTACAGCCAGCACATAACCAAACATTTTTTAAGTTTTCCTCTATGTATTTTCTAGATTACAATCCGAAATTTTAATAGGATAGATCTCATTAGTTATGTTGAATGGTTAAACGAGATTATAAAAATGTACTCTACACAGACTAATTTCAATTTTTAAATTATTATATTTTATGTTAATACACCTCCAAAATTGTTAATTTGGTGCTTAGTAGATATTCTTTTATTGGGGTTCAATTTTTTTTGAGGAGTTGCTTGGCTAGTTTCTTTGACAAAAACACCAATCAAATAATAAATTTTAAGAAATTCGAGTTGTTATTTCTATAGATATAGCTAAAAATGAAAAATCTTTTTCTATACATAAATTTCTAGTGCTTGCTCCTTGATTTTCATGAAAAATTAATAATAAACCTACTGTCAAACACCTACACAAACTGTAAATAAAATTTTATAAATTATCATGAAAATCTGTTCAGCTAAAATTGTGATACATAATGGTACACAGAGGGATAAACAGGCATTTCGTTAGAAATAGTTGTATTATGTTCCATTTTGTAAAAATGGAGAAATTTTTTTTCGTTGAAACTCAAGAATGCGGTTTTTAAAAATAATTTTGAGGGAAAAGCAAAAACTGAATTGAATACCTAAAATAAGCAGTAAAAATTTTATTTTTAATATTTTTCTGTTTCATATTTTTTAGGGCTACGAGTATTAATTAAGTTTTTTGCCTACCAAATTTTTTTTTTATTAAACAGAAAATAGGCTCCACGCGCCTACTTAACAAATTCATAATTTTTTTTCTTGTATATATTCTTAAAATTTTATTAATTAATCATTCTTATATAAGTTTAATTAATTGCAAAAAAAAAACTCGAATATTTATTACATAAGAATTTATGTTAAGTTTATAAATAAATTCTAAACTCATAATTAAATTCTAGTTCTAAAATTAACTTTATAAAAATATTCTATACATTCAATTATCAATTAATTTAATATTGGAAAATATAGAAAAGTTTATTTTAAAATATATTTAATATTAAAAAAAAATTTTGATAATATTATTGAAAATCTTGCATAGCACATTTAATTATATTTACAATTGTTACACTTATTTCGCCTGAAAGAAAAATTTGTCCTTAAAAAATGAAATTCTTAAAATTCTAAAAATAACACATAGCTAAATTTTTTATAGAATTAAAAGAATAACATCGGCGGTACTACAATAGTCTGAGTGCACGTTTTGGGAGGCTGCATCAACATAACTCATGGAACAGCGTAAAAGATATGGTAATTTTTTTATTATATCAGGTACAAATCTCATTTTTCTACTTCCCATATAAATACCAGATGTTCGTGATATATACCAAAGAATATCTTATTATTGCGGTTGAATATTTTTTTTACACCAACATTAAAAGTATTTAGCGCCATAGTGAGTCATACTTTGACAATTTTATCATTTAACTGAAGCAACTTTTATACCTAAAAGTATAAAATATTAAAGTAGAGAAAACATATTTTAACAAACATTTATGAGATTTCTATTCACTCTGAAATGAAATTTCAGAGAATGAGGTTCTTATATTTAATTTAATCGCACAAAAGGAAAAATTTTTAGAGAATTTGTTTTTTATTTTTCTTTGAAAGCTTATAAATTTAATTTTTTTTAATTGTTAATTTTAATTTTGGTTTATCATATTGTTCCCAATTATTATAGTAGTGCTAAAAACAAAACCTAAAATGAAAATGAAAGATTTTAATATTTTATTAAAAATATTAATTTTTATTAATTTTTATATGATACCAGCATTAGCTTTAATTACTTGTCCAAAAGAATTTTTATATCAAATTGGTGTTAATGCAACATGTGAATCTAAAGATAAACAAACAATACCATGTGATGGATCTCATCCACTTCATATACAAACAGCATACATTGATTGTACTGAAGAATATTTTAATCATAAAACACATGAATCAATATTTTGTGATACAGAACGTGGAATATGGTCACCTCAGCCACTTCGATGTTTTCGTCATTGTGATAAATCTGGTACACCAGAAAAAATTGAAATTTTAAGTAATAAAACTGAATATCCTTGGTATGCTGAAATATTAAAGAAAAATCCAACATCAAATGATAATGATGATCGAAAAGAAATTATTCCAGGATTAATAATGACTGCAAGAATGATTATGACATGGGAAAAATATTTTGATAAGAAAACTGATTGGAATTTAACAGATTATATAGTTCGTATTTATGATCCTCCAAATCATCATGAAGATTTCAATATAGAACGTATAGAATATGTTAGCAGGTAAATTGAAATATTAAGAATAAAATAAATTACATACAAACATATGCTATATGCATAAATTGTTTTAAAAATGGTTGATAACCTTAATCGAGTGTACGCTCGTACAAGATATGTGAAAAAGCTTAATAAAAAAACTTTATTAATTTTCGAATAGCAATGAAAACTATATTCTTCTTCTAATTTACAGTGATCCGGTTTATAATATTGGAAGAACTGATAAATACGATCCATTTTGTGTTTTAATCCTAACGAATGATAACTATATCAAAATAAATGATAAGGATACAAGACCGCCATGTTTAGATCATGAATTATTTGAAAATAATAATTGGTTTGTTGAAGTTGTAAGAGCGATACCAGAAAACAAGTATGTAAAAACATAGCCAAAAAAATATATTCAAAATTATAGTTATTTATTTTCTATGTTATAGTTTACGTCCCAATTATCCTAATAAATGTCTAGTACCAAAATTGGATGATAAAAATGTTGAAGTAACATGTTACCAAAACTTTAAATCTAAACCATTAGACAAATGTCCTGATAAAGTACCAATTTTACAAACAAAATGTAAACTTGGATATGAAAAAATCAATTCAACAAATGATGACCCACTTTCTACGTGTATAGCAAATCGTTGGAGTATTAACGATGAAAATGAAAATGAAAATTGTGAATTAATATGTGGTGAAACTGATACTGAAAATGATAGTGATAATGAAAAGCAACATAGTGAAATAAAAAAAGCACCATGGCATGTTGCTATTTATTCAAATAAAACCCGTAGTATACTGTCAGCTTATGATCAATTTTGTTCTGGTGTCATTATTGATCAAAATATCATTTTAAGTGCAGCACATTGTTTTTATGATAAAGAAGAAAAAAGAACTGAAGATCCAACAATTTATTTAATTGCAGCTGGAAAGAGTTTTCATAGCTTTAAAGAAAAAGAAGATTCAGAACAATATGTTCATATTAAAGAAATACATATCCCAACAACGTAAGGAAAATTTTACATTCCCTACATGTTTTATAATTCTTTTTATTTATTTGATTTTAAATTAAATTTTAGATATGGTAAAGATAATGATTGGAGTAATGATATTGCTGTATTAATTTTAAATTCATCATTAACTTTCAATTCATATGTTAAACCAATTTGTATTGATTTAAATTCAGAATCCGAATTGAAAACTGAAACTTCAGGACACATATTTGGTTGGAGAGCTACTACAAAAGATGATATTATAAATAATAATTTACAAATATTAAATGTAACAGCATTAACAGGAGAACAATGTAAGATTGAAAATAATAAGGATACAAATTTTAAATCAGGAAACTTTTGTATTGCGAAGAAAATTTCACCAACCCTTTGTAAAGGTGATACTGGCGGTGGATTCTTTGTAAAAGAAAATATAAATGACAAGGAACGTTATATATTAAAGGGAATCATTAGTTCAGATATAAATCGTGGAGAATATTGTTCTAATAATTCTTTAACAATACTAACAGATTTGCAATATGTTAAAGATTTCGTAAGAAAGACAGTTACTGAAAATAGACAAAAATTAGATGAAATTGAAATAATAAACTTAATTTGGTATCGAATTTATGCACATGGCGTATGGACAACACCAAATTGGATTAGAAAAGAATTAAATCTTACATTTTCAGAAAATCCAAAAACAAGATTTTATGATTCATATGGTTCACATTTGGTTCATTTTTAATTGAAATAAAATTTATAAACACGAATTGTCAAATATAATAAGCTACTTAATAAAGAAATTATGTTTGATAATTAACTAGTACAATAATGAGTCCACAATTTTGGCAAAAATTTTTTTTCGGAAAAATTTCACTCGTACGAATTTTTCGAAAAATTATATGACAGCTAACAAAATGTTTATTTAGCCTGTACCAATATTTTTTTTTAGTACTAAACCTTTTCCTATAATTTGAATAATATTTGCAAAATCACAAAATTATTTTTAAATTGTATGGCAGATGAAACTTAATAGTTTATCAGTCATACAAAAATTTCTTTATAATAACGAGATTAAAACATAGTTTTTAGGTTCTGCCGCAACAGCAAGAACTTGTATAACTACGACCAATTATTATTTGAATTTCTGAACCTACTAAAATACTCATTTATAAAAAACGTTTTATAATTTATAATCAAAAAGATATTAGTCAATTGTTTTTAAAATTAGCAGTTCCTTAAAACGGCATCTCGAATTTAAATTAAGTAAATTTTGTGCGGTAATGTATCTAAGAAATTTGTAAAAATGTTTTCAGCCAAAATCATTTTGAATGAACCAAAATGATTTTTTGAGCTATGACTGGGGCTGTCAGACGAACAGAAGAGTGGAGGGACAATCTATCAAACGTGGCTAAATATTGTTATATTCGTATAGAGAATTTAAGCTTAAACATATTTTTATTAAATTTTATAATTTCTAAGATAAAATTTTATTGAAAATATTTCTTTTCTTAGTTTTTTAATATTAGTTAATATTCAATTGATCTACCACAGTTTTGTTTTCAAACGAGTACAATTTATTTGTATTGTTCATTAACCTCTTATTTTCTATCGCAAGAGTCAACTGAAATTCTATATTAATTCTCGTACTCGCTAAATTTTGCACTTAAGAAACTTAAGTTTGCTTTTTGTAATGTTTTTGAATTATTTTGTAAAGCGAAAATTTATAAAGCTATAAAATTTTACATCTCAAATATAAAATGTACAAAATTAATTGCATAAGTTCAGGTGTCCGAAAAAAAAATTGTTGTTGAGAGTAAAATATGAAAATTGTTGTTGAGAATAAAACAGTATATTAATGAAATTTTAACAATACTGCATAGTAATATGTGCTTGTATGTTCATTTTAAAACATTATAAATGCTGTAGAAAAAAATTTCTATCTTACTAGAATACTAATAGCTAATTAAAGAAACTGTTTGAAAAAAAGAAGAAATCTAAAAGCACGCATATATTGCTTGAATAATATTTATGACAGTCGCGCTTCTTAAATCACAACTTGCACGTGGATGCAATTTAAATTGAAAAACTCTCCTTTACACACCTGAAAATAAATTTTAAATTTGTCTTTTAGTGATTTTATAATACGGTCAATATTAAATCAAGAGTAATTTTGAAATAGTTAATAATGATTATTTAAGATTTATTAAAATGAAAATATCAACAATAAAACTTTTTACTAATACTATACCTAAACTAGCCTTATTTAAGGTATCAAAGATTCATTATTGGCTTAATATGTAAATGGAAAAGTCTTTATACATAAACTAATTTATTGAAGATATTTTCAAATTAAATTCATATATAACTAATTTAGTACAATAAAACTGTTTCATCCCTGTTAAGCTCTCATAGAATTAAAATCTGGTGTAAATATAGTCAGGCTCAAATTGAAATTGTACATTTATTATCTATTGGCCAAAACTACTTAAAAACCCTAAATAAATCAGCTAATATTTAGCATACTAAATTATTTATAAATTCTCTATATGTATATTTTCTTATTTTATTTTAATTATATTAAGTATATGCCCTTTATAATTTCTATTCAAGTTGCAATTCTCTTGAAATAATTTCATTCCATTTAAAGCAATCATTGGTAAACATGCTAACTCTAACGTAAATAATTAAATTACTTATAAGAAAATTTGTTTTCGACAAATTTTAAAGAAAGCATACACTGTAGGTATTGTTGTACTATAGATATACGTATATATAAATATTAATTTACAGATTTTAGAATTTTAAATTTAAATACTTGTAGATAACAAAATTTAATATATAAATATTTATAATACATTGAAAATTGTTGGAAAATAACAAAAACAAACTAGTTAATTTAGAATTCGAATAACATATTCTTCCTGATAAGCTTTATTTTGTAAATATAAAATACAATTTTCTTGTATATACATAATATGTGTGTGTTGAAAAACACCTAATGCAATTTTATTTCTATATTTGCAATTAAAAATCTGATTTACTTATATGCGATTATAAGCTTTTAATTTAAAACTAGTCCAAGTGATTAATAATTAAAATCATTTATATAAAAATATTACCTACATCTATATGAATTCTTAAATTTACGAATAAAATTTATGAATCATATATTCACTTATCACATTAAAATGTTATTATTTTCAATTTTATTAGCACAATATCAAAAAAATTGGAAAAATAAATGAAACACTTATTATGCCGTTCGTCCATTTATACGAGCGTTTGTTAATAAAACTTCTATACACTTTTTAAAATAAATAGCTGAAATTTAATACATAAATGCTCTATTTGTAGGAAGAAATCTATTGTTGCAGCTCACATACTTTAAACTCTTATATATTAACAGTTTATATATATGTATTAATAATTTGTATGTTTTGTCGGAACAAATGTTTATTTTAAACTTCTGCCCCCTCCAAGTTGTCGTCTCACAAAATAATTTAAATTTTCTTCATGACTTCTTGCAAAAAATAGCTATTTATCGAAGTTCACCTTACAGCAGACGACTAATTCGTTTATTATATTAACTTTTCTTTGGTCTCAGGTCCTTCTCCTAAAAGTGTACAATTATTCTTTGATAACATAATTTTAGTACAAATTAAAGATAAATGAATATAATTCACGCAAAAAAATTATTTTTAAAAAGAAAAAAAATTTTCTCACTTCTGCGAAAGAAATGTGCTACTTTACAAACCATATTGGTGTAATCCAAATTTATGGAATTCATTTTAAATAAAATTAAAATTCGATTCTTTAATTTACTACCGGTGTAATAATTTACTTCATATTTCTCTTTTTCTTGTTATTATCTTGGATATATATGAGACACATATATATATGTATGTATGTATGTGAAGAAACTGTTTTACGTAAATTAACAACTAAAAAACGTCAGTACCAATAAATAATAATTTAAGTAAAAATTTAAACATTTTAAAAAAAATATTGTAGTATTATATAAAATATTATATAAAAAAAAAGAGTTAAATTCCAATAATATATGTGAAATAGAACACCAATCTGGTGGGCACCTCAGCAGCACGTATAACGAAATAAATTTGACAATATTTGGAACCTTATCCCACAAATACAGCAACAATAGCGTGTTACTTGTATTGACTAACAAATTCAAATAACTCCATCAGAAATAAGTTTGTGAGCTTAAACGGCGCCTTCTTATCAACCTACTAAACCATGAGTAACGTGGAAAAATCAATTGAAATTCGAAATACCAATGAATAAACTGACAATTACAAACTATTTTGCCGGTTGATGCTTAGATGAACTAAATGAATATTTTGAAATCCGCCCACAACAACTAGAAACTCCTTTCATATTTGTTTACTTAATCAAACCTAAACAAGTGTAAAATTTCTAATTTAAACATTTAACTCCGATTTCCAAATAAATTCATTTAAATTGATTGTAATTCGAAATTACGATAAATTAAATTATATAAATTTGACCTTAATTATATTATACAATATATCATACATTCCGTATTGTTGTATACAAAACAAAAAAAAAAAATTCCGTTATATGAAAAATATTTCTCCATTTTTTAAAAGGAAAATTGTTTAAAACAAATATTAAATTTCCTGTTGTTATTGTTTATGGAAATTGATAATTAATTTTAAATTAACAAAAAAAATAAAATAAAATAAAATATTCCATGGATAATAGATTAAAGTTTAAAATTCATGAAGTTCAAAGTAATTAAAAATTTTCTGTAAAATACGTAAGTGCATTATGTAAACAATTTCATGTCTGAGCATGGTATTTGTTTACATGTAAATATTAATATGACAATTAATGACGTAATTTTAAAAAATGAATCACAAATCGAAATAGAAGCAATTGTATACTTAATTGACTTCAAATGAAAGCGAAGATGTCAATATGACAGATTTGAACTTTTATTAGCCAGTCTGGTATATACTTCCCGTAATTAATGTTACAAAGTTTTGCCATGCCATAAGACCTACATGTTAGAATATATAGTTCCTGGTAACACTTTCCAATAATTAAAAAGTCCTTGATTCCTTCATAAACACTTGTATATGCATAACAGCTCCTAAAAAATGCATAAAGTTCAGTAAATTCATTTACTACTGCTACTTGTACACTTACTATTATTTCAACTCCTATTGACCCATATAAATTTAAAATAATCTTACTTTTTTTTATTTTTGAAAAAAAAAACTAAATCAAAAAAGTTTAACATTTCTTAAACAGTAACAGAAAGTTGTTTTGACGTAATGTATATCTACATATATATCTACATATATATATATATGTAGATATATACCAAATAATTATAATATTATTAAATCAATTTATTTATGAATCATCACAATAATATATACATAATACAAGTGAAATTATTTTGAACTACATAATATTACACGCGTGCTAAAGGCGCACGGTATTAAGCTTTGTACATATATAGTACGCATAGATATGTGCATATATTAAAAAAAATTAAATAAATAAATAAAAGCTTTAAATATATTTATATGTATAAATATGTGTGTTGGTTACCTTAACAATTAACTACCTTAACTATTAACTTTAAAAATTTTCTTTAATCGATTCAATCAAATGCGTATATCATTGTTATTATTATTGTTATACGCCATGTAAAATAGATTTACTTCGATTGTTAATACCAAACGTGTATACATATACATTTTACAGGTGTAAATAAATATGTGCATTGTTTTTAAATTGTTATAATTAAAGTTTGTTTTTTTTTTTACTTTACATAGAAATCAATTATTTAGTTACCGATGAGTGTAGAATTTAATTCTATAATATATAAAATAAAATTTTATAACATTTTGACTGATGTCTGCAAAACAACACAAAGTCAATCTGTCTGTCCATCCTTTAAGATATGACTCCTTCATATTGTAAAAATGTAAGGTGTTAACAAACTATATCCAAAACAAAACTAATTTTTAAATTCTAGTGTAACAAAAAACTAAACAAGCTTCAAAACTCACCCTTCAAATTAATTGTTATTTGAAACTTATTTTTCATTAATTTTCGGAGGAATTTTTCTTTCTATATGGCAATTCATAAAATTTCTTAACACGGCTCATTTTATAAAATCAACATTTTATTTTATTAGAAATTTCTTTGTAACTTCTCCTCCTTCTCCTCCTCCTTCTCTCAAATTATTATAAAAAATTCAAAATTTGTAAAATATCTTCAGACCTCTCTTTGTAATTCATTAACTTCAACCTCAAATTATAACATGGTCATTATTTTTCCCTTAATAAAAATCTCGCACCACTAAAAATATCAACTAAGCCACCCTGAGAGTAGTTAATACTCTTGTCTAAGAAAAGTACCGCCCGTATATGTATCGGCGAGTTAACCAGTTTTTGATTCAAAATCTTTACATTAGACATTAAATGAAAGTTACCTGAAATTCTTTTTGCTAAATTTTTGTATGATTTAATTGGAATATTTAATTTGAAATTCATGAAGCACAACCTTTTGTAGATTTTGAGATCTCAATTTTAACTAAAAAAAAAATTTTAATAAAAAAGAATTTTTGCAATACTTTCTTAAAAATATTGTTCCAATTGATTTGGCATTTGATTTTGAAAATGAAATAAGAAATATTAAATTTCAAATTGAAAAAGCTTGCACATAAATCAATTAATTGAAACTATTTTATTCACCTCACACAATATTTCTATTATAAAATCTAATATTAAATTAATTAATTATTATTATTGACCTTTACTAAAACAAAAACCTGTACTCTTACTATAGTGCTCTCTTTATTTATAAAATCTTGAAATCAGTATAAATATCTTAAATTAGTTCATGCATTGTTCATAGTTATTTTATACTTATTCTAAGATCTAACTAGAATTTATAGTATAGAAAAATTAAGTGATATTACTTTTTTTTTTTTAAATAAATTTTTAATATCCATCATAAATAATAATTATTTTGTGATAAAAAAAATATCCTTAAAATTGTGTATAAAAAATGGCATTTAAATTTTTTGATAATTTTATTGTTTTATTTTTTATAATTGGATGTGTTTTTGGAAAATTTCGTAAGTATTAAATTAAATGGAAAATTTTCTAAAAAAATATTAAAAAAAAAAAAACTGTGATATTGTTTAAAAAATTATTTTATGGTAATAGAGTGAATCAAATTGAATATTAGTTGAAAAATTTAAAAATATTTTTTATTTTTAAATTTAATTTACAATTTTTACAAATGGGCGTTTACCACTTGAACATCATTTTGCAACTTAAAATACCGTGTCAAATTTTAGTAAAATTTATTTGCAACACAATTCAGCAATTTTGTAATTCATAAGCTAAATTTATACATTAGTAGTGTACTAGTATTGTATTAGTAGCTTATACGAGTACTGTTACAATTTTAATTTCAGGTCATAACCTCTTTTCAGAATAAACAACACTACGAATAAACATGGAATAAACTAGTTGTTTTTGCATACTATGTAATTTATATCAAAATGTAAAAAATTACAAGATGTAAAATCTTATGTATCTATGTGTATTTATACAAAAAATTCTGATGTTAAATACCGCATGAGTTTTATGTGATTTTGTATAATTTACACATACATACTTAAAAATACAACTGCGTTGCATAAAAAATTTTAAAATTTTAATATTTAATTAAACTGAGCTTTAAAGAATTAAATTAGTAGTGCATAAATAATTTTACGAAAATGGTATAAAAGCTCTGTGCACACAAAGTGTTTTAGGAATAAAAATCGTTTTACAAATTTAAATAACTACAAAATGTTTCAGATCTTGTTAATCAGCAATAATATACACAACATTTACATGCCTAATTCTTAGTATATTAATTAATTTCATTAATAGTTTGTACTTGTCTTTTGAGATTGCTTTACAGTGCAGCGAATTCTACAAAAAAAAATAAATTTTATTAATCAAATTCAGAATTATATAAATATATATTTAGATACATAACTTTTCATATAAATTGAATTCCATGTTGCTACTGCATATGGTCAATAAACTTAATTCAGAAATTTATGGTTAAATTGGATTGTATTTAATTACTGCATTACTATACAATATGGAACTCAACAATATTTTTTAAATAAATTTTTAACAAGTTATTAAGTAGTACAATTATTAGGACTATGTACAAGAACATTCCTAAATAAAGTAAGAAAATTATGTAAACCCACACTCCAAGGAAAAAATAGAACCAACGAATATACACCATGCACATTCGACATGCCAATGTGAACTAATTTTTTTTTTCAAATCGAATTCTCAAAATAATAAAAATTATAATTTAGACTTTAAGAATCTCTCTACAATATCCAAAATCCTGAAAACAATTAAACAGAAATTAACGTTTCTCAAAAAAAAATTGTACTTACATTAACATGCTATTGTCTAGATTTTATTCAAAAATTTATCGAATTTTCAAAATTTTTGTAAAATAATTGTTTAATTAATTTTAATATTAATTCTTCCTATTAAAATTTTTTCGGAAATTTTCGAAAATATTTGAAATTTTAAAATATCAATTAAATTATAATTGGGAATAAATTTGAATTATTCAATTAATTTTTTACTATATGCTATTATTCAACTAATTTTTTACGAGACTATAAGATATACAAACAAGCCATAAATAATTTACACTTTAATTTTGCTTTAAATGTAAAAAAATAGATGAGAAATAAAACTTTATAATATTACGAATTTGAAAAGCGCAGAACTACTTTCAATTTATTCAACTAGAACCAGGCATATATCACAGCTACCATAGTTGAATTAAATCAATTTCCGCAGTATCTCAAATTACTGCCGTATATTTTACGTATACATATCCATCGATAATACATGATAATATTGTAAAATAAATACACGCACATTTGTATATATTTAGATATTTGTAAATATACTGTTAGCAATAATAACAATTTATTTTTAAATATATTGAATAAATATCTTTGTAAATAATGAAAGCTCTAATAATATTAATTTTTTTTCATTAAATTTTATTATATAGCGGAAGATATCGAAAAATGTAAATATGGTGATGTTGAATGCATAAAAAAAGTTGCAGGTGATGTTTTACAAAAATATCCACATGGTTTAGAAAGTTTAAAACTTCCTGATCTTGAACCATTTCATTTGGAAAATGCAACATTTGGTGACGCTTCAACACCAAGAGAAAATTTTGATGTTAAATTAAAAATGTCTGATTTTGATCTATTTGGATTATCAAAAATTGTTTTCGAAAAATTTGTGTAAGTATACAAAAAAAAAATTTCAATTATTTTTTTTATAATATTGTGTTTTTATTTTTCTGAATTGTATAGAGGTTTCGAAAAAGATCCTACAAAGAGTAAATTTGAATTTTATGGTAGAATACCAAATCTTAAAATTAATGCAAAATATGATGTTAAAGGTAAAGTTCTTGGTTTACCAATTGAAGGTGATGGACCATTAGAAATGGAAATTGGAAATGTTGATGTTTCATTAAAAATTAAATTGAAAGAATCTGAAAAGAAAGACGATAAAACATATACAAAAGTTGATAAATATAAAATTTTAATTGATGCTAAAAGGTAAAAAATTTTTGTTTTTTTAATTTTAATAAATTATTTAATTTCCAATTTTTTTTTTTTTGTAATTGCAGTTTTAAGATCAATCTTAAAAATCTATTCAAAGGTGATAAAAATTTAGGTCAAAGTATGAATGAACTTTTAAATAAAAATTGGCAAACAATTTGGACTGAAGTTAGATCTGATGTTGGTAAAATTGTTGGAAAATTCATTACGGATATTTTAAATGATGTTTTTACATCATTACCATACGAAGATTTATTTTTACAAGAGAAACAGGAATAATATGTAAAAATATTTAATTATAATTACAAAATATAGTTTACAATATTTCAAAAAAAAAAAAAATTAAATTTGTGTATGTTTTTCTTTTTTTTAATATTTTACCACACAATACAATTTATCAATCTATTTACCTTAATGATGACCTCATAAGAGCATTTTAATCGCAAACACAAATAACAATTTTAGAAAGCCAAAATAATTGTATTAAAATACAATACAACGCCATATACTATAAAAATCAATATAGGAAAAATTAAATCATAAAATATCCTGAATGTGAATAGCACCATGGTCTTACGGAAATCTAATTAAATTAAAGATTGAAATTTTGTAAATTTTAAAGAAATTGCAATGTGATATCGAAAATTTCAAAAATTATAAGGTAGTATAAATATTCGTGAAAATTTCTTGCTATTAACTTTCAAAATCATATTTTAATAACAAGTCTATCTTAAAAAACAAATTGAATTAAAAATAAATTCCAAATTGATTTGAGCTTTGACAAAGAATATCCTCATACAAAAGTTTTACTTCTACACTTGTACACCTGTTTTACTTTTAGGCACTTAAAAAGAAAGCACCCTTTATATTTTAGTTTTATGGACCGAAGCATAAAAAATAATAACGACATTTTTATGGTCTTTATATAAATAGTTGCGAATTGAAAGACTGAGATGAGACAATATTATCAAATTTGAATTCTAATGACGAGGACACATTTAGTAAAAAATTTATTAAAATTTATTTTTCGTTTTAAACATTTTTAAAATACAATAAAACTTTACCTATTACTAAACCCATGAAAATGCAATAATTAACAAAAATTTGTTTGATATTAACATTTATAAAAATTTTCAAGGGTACATGTTGTATTAAATTAAAATTCTTATTTGTATGTCATACAATGATTAATTGTATGACATTCAAATTGATGTCAAACTTACGAAATGTAATTGTTAAATTTATGAAATTTTAAATTATAATATAAAAAATTTAATTAAGGCAGAAATTTTTTTTGGAAAGAATCGCAATTTGTTAATAAATATAATTATCAATAAATTCCAAATTGCATTCCAAATGCAGTAATATACAGTATTAATGGATAGTTCAGCTTATAAATATAATTGCTGAATTCTGTATTAATTGTGAATTATAATAATTCTTTCATTTAATCTTAAAAAAAAAAAATATAATATTCATAAATTTATATGAGAGCGCAATATTGATTTATTTTTCTTTAACTACACACATATGTATGTGTGTATACATAGTTTTTTTACTGATATTAAAGTACAATTAATTTGATAACGGTTCTTATACATATAAATTTTAGATGCTCTAATTTTATAAAATCAATTCAAGATCAAAAATTAAGCTTAATTCAATTAGTCATTATTAATTGCTAACACGGGAATGTTATTTTCAATTTTATTTAAAAATCTTAGCGAAATACTTTAGAATTTTAATTTTTTTTTAATTTTTTAGTCTGTAAAAGAAAAACCGACAGAAAAATTTATATTTAGATTAATTATACATAACAGCCCAAAATTACATAGACAGAGCTATGAAATGGATAATATTTCAATCTTTAAAAATTTTATGTTTCATAACTAATTTGGTAACATATGGTAAGTAGAATTATTCTACAAAAAAAATTACATGAAACAATTTTTTTGAAAAGAATTTTTTTTAAGCAAATTGTCCACCTATAATAAAATACTCAATTGATGCACATTGTAGATTTGATGGAAATGAATTTCCATGTGATAAGCATGTTCAACCAGGAACAATAGCACAAATAAAATGTGCTTTCATGTATAAAAGATCAAAAAGTAGAGATAATAGTGATACTGTATATATACATTGTCAAAACGATGGTAATTGGACTAACAGTAATTTCAATTGTGAACAAACTTGTGGTACAATTGGAATAAAGGTTGCATTCAGTGTAAATAGTCAAGTAACTGAAGTTCAAAAAGTTCCATGGCAAGTAGGAATTTATATGGGAGACTCTAATGGAATATACCATCATATATGTGGCGGAACTTTAGTCAAATCAAATGTTATTATAAGTGCAGCACATTGTTTTTGGGATCCTTTAGAAACACGATTATATAACGAATCGAATTATATTGTTGCTGCTGGAAAATTTTATCGCGACTTTTATTCACGTGATGAACCATTAGCTTTTCAAATGTCTGATGTCTCTAACATAAAAATACCGTCACAGTAACCTATAATTAAAATGTTATTTCAATATTATTTATTATTAAATTATTCCATTTCTAGATTTTCGGGAGCGGATTATGATTATGTAAGTGATGTAGCTGTTGTAACATTAAAAAACCATATTTTATTTAAAAATCATATTAGACCAGCGTGTTTGCCTTGGAATCTTAATGAAGAAATTTTTATATTGAATAACAAACATGGTGTCGTTGCTGGATGGGGTATAACCAACACTGGATCATATAGCCCAGAATTACGTTCTGTTGAACTGACAGCAGTAGATAGTGATGATTGTAAAAGAAAAGTGACGAGAAATAATAAAATTCCAAATGATAAATTTTGTGTGGACACTGACGAAGGGAGAAATGTTTGTCGTGGTGATAGCGGTGGTGGTTTTTTGGTACCTATATATGATGGTGATGTAGCCTATTACTACCTCTGGGGTGTTGTCAGTAATGGTTTAATTAACCCAGGATCGGGCGATATAATTTGTAATTCGAAATTTGTTACAACATTTACAAATCTGCAATTATATCAAGGTTTTGTTACACAGTTAAAAATTTTCCATAGGGATGATGAATATGATATAGGATGTTTGGTTCCAGAAAAAGTTTCTCTTCTGCTCAGAAATATCGAAACAGATCGGTTTTTAATTCCAGGTTCTTATGTTGAAAAAAATACTAAAATCAGATACGTTTGCCCTGTGGAATACCTTCGTTTTGGTAATCACACTACAAATACTTGCGATAAGGACTGGCTTAATCCTCATCCTGAATGTATAAGTAATTCAGCAAAATTTATTTATTTTAATTTAAAAAAATATTGACACAAAAATTATTGTATAATTTTAGGAGCCTGTACTCAACTATATTTTGAACGAAGCATAATTGCACGCTGCTATTATAAAGGAAAACAAATTTATTGCAATCGACGACGTCTTAGACCCGGGACTATAGCAAAAATTGAATGTGCTTACATGTATCAAAAACCCCATAATAAACTATTTCATGAAACGATAACTTGTACAAATAATGGCTTCTGGGACAATTTACCAACACAATGTGAACAAATTTGTGGAACAACTGAACCTAAATTGAAAACAGAAGCAAATAACACAGAATTAATTTTTAATAGAACTCCTTGGCAAGTTTCTATATATTACCAAGACAAAAATGTACTCGCATATAAGTATATATGTAGCGGAACTTTGATTCATTCTAAAATAGTTCTTAGCTTAATTTACTGTTTTTGGAATTCCAAAAATTCAGCTTTACACGATTTATCAAATTATATGGTCACTGTTGGAAATTTTTATCGTGATTATTATACCACAATCAATGAAACACAAGAAATTCAAGCATTAAATATTTCTAAGATATACGTCCCTGATTCGTAAGCTACTCAAATAATGTTACTTATTTATAACTGACCAAAAAAATATAATTTATATTGTTATTATAGTTTTACGGATGAAACTGGAGATGATGCCTTTCCAATAGCTGTAATATTGTTATATTACCATGTGGTATTTAGAAATCATGTTCGACCTGCGTGCTTGATTTTAGAAGCCAATAACTCTATAAATGAGAAATTAGGTGTGATTGCAGATTGGCGCGTTAATAATGAAGGTGTTTACAGCTCAGAATTGTGTTCTATCGATTTATTTCATAAAAATAACCCAGAATGCAGTAAAAACTCTTCAATTTCGAAAACAGAGCATGAGAAGCATTATTGCTTAGGAGACAATGGCAGAGGATTATTAATTCCTAAAACAATTAATAATACCATATATTATCATCTTTTAGGAATTATTAGCAATAATCTTGCAATACAAGGTAATGACTCAGATGAATGTGATTCTAAATTTCGAATAGTAACTTTCAATAACGTTTCAAACTTTAAGTCAGACTTGATGGAAATCCTGAAAAATGCAACTCAATATATTATTCTATTTGAATAAATGTGTATTTTCATTATAGTACAATAAAATATTACAAAATAAGAAAACTAGCGTTTTGTATTAATGTTTTGCAGCAGACGAAAATTGATTTTGTAAAGCGTTAAGTTTTTAATTTAAATAAAATACCCAAAAAATTGAAAACCTGCATGTATTTTGTTGTTAAATCGTTAAATCAATAGTTTCCATTTACTTTTTAGATATACATGTTGTACTATATCATATATAATTTGTACATATATAATTTGTTGGTTACTCTGTATTAGGCGTTTTATTCAAGAGCGAATTTTTAATTGAGATATCTTCATATGTTAAATATTGCTTTGCAAAGTTAAGATAGTTGCCAGATGGTAATTCCCATTTCCTTAATATCATAAACTAATTTAGAGGCGTCAATTCGCATGGCTTTGAACTATAATATGAAATTGATCTAAAATGAAAAAAAGTACAACGTAAAGATAGTTGCTCAACAGAAATATTCTAAATTATCCCATGGCCAAATGTAGAAATTGAAAGAATGATGATCGAAATGTCGAAAATAAAACCTTGTAATATAAAAGAAATTGAATAGCGAAAACATCAATGATTAATGATGGCTACCCTTAAATCATGAATTTAGAAGTTTCCCTCACTATGTCAATCTTAAAATTATAGATATACGAGTACATATAACTCAACGTATAGTTTTAAAATTTTCTTTAAGAAGTGTATTGTCAATGTAAAGTTCTAAAACAGTTTAACATTAGGGAAAAACGTATATATAAAAATTTAGTTAACTATAGGGTGCACCGTCGGTCAATGTACAACACATTGAAATAGCCGGAATGCTTTTTTAGAATGCGAATTTCAAATAATCTGGTAGATACATACATATATGCCAATGCATAACAATACAGAACACCGTGCAATCTTTGAATTATTTTAACATACAAATAAATTCTTATAAATATCAAAAGAGTAAAAACCAAACTTTATTTTTCTCAATAATAATCAAATCATTAGAGAACGAGGTATAATGTTAAAATCTTTATGTATATTCATATACATAATCAAATTCAAGTCACGTTTATTTATGCATGTGCGGTAATTTGAAATTCATTCAAACATAATATGCACATATGTAATAATGCATAGAGAGAAAAAATATTATAATAGGGTTTTCCCTACTGCCACAATGCAAAAGAATATTGTTAAATGATAATATAACACATTTAATATGTTCCTGAAACTATATATCATTACAATGATTTTTAATTTTGTTTAGTTATTTTAATATTACACTTTCATATATACAGTAGCTAAATTTCAGTTTAATTTAAAAAATCCTAAAAAATTCTTAACTAGCCGGTACTCTTCGGTATTATTTGATTGTTAATTAATGATTCAATCTTTTTCCAATTTGATTAAAAAAATTATGATATTGTTGAGTGTTATGCAGTTAATAAAAATTGTAGAATTATTTTAGAATTTACAATAATAAAATCAAAAACAAAAATATAAACTTAGTTATTGTTATCAAATTAGAAATGATAATGATCATATGAAATAATTTTTCTCTCATTTTTAATTAATTCTAAGTATATAAAATTATAGTTTAGTTAATGTTAATATTTTGCATAGTGTAGTTGGCTCCAATCTTTAATCAATTAATTAATTTTTAAAATTATATATAAATTAAAACATATTGATTACATTATAAAACGTTTTGCATAATTTTATATATAATATATACGTATAGTGTTTTTTAGCCTAGAGTTCGTTTTTGCATGAAGTACGTATTTGATCCACAATTATATTTCTTAATGCAACATTTAATAAAGTTGCGCAGTAAATAAGGTATGTAGAGCATCCAAAAATTTTTAAGTTACATTTTAAAAAATATTTTGTTAAAAGTTTAATTTTATTACGGTCTTAAACAATATTTCTACTGTTGTTTTTATTTTATAAAAGAAAGTTCATTATCATTTCGAAAATAAGGAGAGAAACTTGTAGAAAAAACGTAAAAGGTTTAAAAATCAAAAATTTTAACACATTAAATTTAAAGTTCCGAAAATTATATGTATAAAACTAAATTATGTGTATATATGTATAAAACGTCAGTGCTGAGTACTGAACCTGTTCACTTACAATATGTACATGAAATGCTTAAAAAATTATTTGATGCATAAACGAACTCACCTTATTATTACTTACACATACATACATTTTGTTTATCAATATTTTTAATTGCTTATTAGAGTAATAATAAGAAGCACACGACAAATGTGTTTAATAACAGATCATTAAATATGATTCATCTAAGTATATGAGGTATACGAGCATTTAAAAACCACTAAGAATTAATTGAAATCCTTAACATATTAATAATTTATTTTACAATTAATATTGTAGTAGAATTATTCTATCTAATATGTGATTTTATTCACATTTGTTATATATTAAAATTATATAATAATTTTTATACTAAGAAGATGTTTATTAAATGCTTAAATAATGGGAACGTAAAAGTTGAAATAAAAATATATAAATTTTTTCATATTTCTACATTTTTATAATTCAAATAATTCAAAATAGCTGGTGATGACACGAAATTTCTTTTCAATTATTATTAAATAAGCAGATTGATTTCATTGCATATATTTAGGATGAGAACCATATTACTCAGTTTTAATTGTTTAGTATAAATTACAAACTGATTCTTATTAATTGCACATATTGAAAAGTAATATTGCTTGTTGTATCAGAAAACAGTTCAGTACGATATCGGATTAGTTCTGTACTGCTAACATATTTTTTTGGTTTTCGAAAACTTAACTAATCACATAAATTATACAATAAAATAAACTTTATAGTACTTTATCCAAAATATCCTGGCGAGAGTTAATTGATTACATTTAACATGCAAAGTACTTTAAGTACTTTAGAAGTGGTGAAATAAGTAATTAAATTTTGAGCTTTAATTACTTCCGACTTTAAAATTCAATCAATATGATATTATTATACAATTCAGCAATTATAATTCATAATATAGAAATATCGAGGAATATAATATACAAATTTACATAAGGGTTTTAGAAAGTAATTTTTATATTGAATTATTTTAAAAAATCTTCTGATCAAATTAATAAAATTTACAACTTGTCAATCAAAATTTATTCTAGTTCAGATACAAAAATAATGATACCATTATATTTTCAACATTCTTTTACTTTATGGTTTATGATTACTTTAACTTCATGTGGTAAGTTCAATAACATATACACTAGTACTGAAACAATATTTATAAGGTAATTTTATTCGCTTTTCATAGCAAAATGTCCACCTATAATTAAGCATTCTATTACTGCACAATGCAAATATGAAAAAAATGAGTTTCCCTGCAATAATTTTGTTGAGCCTGGAACAGTAGCACAAATAAAATGTGCTTTCATGTATCAAAAATCAGAAAGCAATTACACTTTTACCAATGAGTATATGCGTTGCAACCGTGACGGTACTTGGAATAAATTTCCGTTTGAATGTGAACAAATTTGTGGTACAATTGGTACAAAGGTTGCATTCAGTGTAAATAGTCAAGTAACTGAAGTTCAAAAAGTTCCATGGCAAGTTGGAATTTATATGTCAGACTCTAATGGAACGTACCATCATATATGTGGTGGAACTTTAGTCAAATCAAATGTAATCATAAGTGCAGCACATTGCTTTTGGAATCCTTTAATATCAAAATTATACAATGAATCAAATTATATTATTGCTGCTGGAAAATTTTATCGTGATTTTTATGCAAATAATGAAACCTTTGGTTTTCAATTGTCTGATGTCTCCAACATAAAAATACCGTCACAGTAAATTAATTATAAAATTTTATTCCTAAACTTTACTTATTATTATAAAATTATTTTATTAATTAGATTTTCTGGAGCAGATTATGATTATGTGAGTGACATAGCCGTTGTGACCTTAAAAAATCATATTTTATTTAAAAATCATATTAGACCTGCATGTTTGCCTTGGAATCTTAATGAAAAAAATTTTATATTGAACAATAAACCTGGTGTTGTTGCTGGATGGGGTGTAACCAACACTGGATCATATAGTCCAGAATTACGTTCTGTTGAACTAACAGCAGTACATAGTGAAGATTGTAAAAGAAAAGTTACGAGAAATAATAAAATTCCAAATGATAAATTTTGTGTGGACACTGACGAAGGGAGAAATGTTTGTCGTGGTGATAGCGGCGGTGGCTTTCTAGTACCAATTAAACATGACAATATAACATATTTTTACGTTTGGGGTGTCGTCAGTAATGGTCTAATTGATCCAAGAGCTAATGAAATTATTTGTAATTCCAAATTTGTTACGACATTTACAAATCTGCAATTATATCAAGGTTTTGTCACACAGTTGAAAATTTTTCATAGAGATGATGAATATAATATGGGATGTTTAGTTCCAAGAATACCATTTCTTTATATTAAAGACGCTAATACAGGATACAAATTATTCTCGGACACATATGCTCAAAAAAATACAAAAGTAAGATACGAATGCGCATATCCAATAATATATAAGTTTGTTGGTAATTACACTAATAATACGTGTGAAGAAGATTGGGTAAACCCGCATCCTAAATGCTTAAGTAATTAAATGTAAAAAGTTTCAAATGAAACAAAATTTCAAAGTAGTTTGTTTTTGTTTTCAGTAACATGTCCAACATTAGAGGTAGAAACTACAGTTCCACGTTGTCATTATGAAGGAAAACAAGTCGATTGTGTTCGTCCTTTAGCAGGTACGATTGCAAAAATAGAATGCGCTTTTATGTACGAAAAACCGCATTATCAATACTTTTATGAAAACATACGATGTAAGAATGACGGTTTTTGGAATTATTCACCAATTCAATGTGAACAAATTTGTGGAACAATTGACTCGAAACTTGAGACAAACACCACTCAATCATTTAATAAAAAAGTTCCTTGGCAAATTTCTATTTATTTTAAAAGTCATCAAGAAACAACATATGAATACGTATGTAGCGGTACATTAATTCATTCTAAAATAGTTCTTAGTGCAGCTCAATGCTTTTGGGATTCTAAGAATTCAACGTTATACGATTTATCAAGTTATATTGTCACTGCAGGAAACTTTTATCGTGATTATTATGCAATAAAAACTGAGGAAATTCAATCATCAGCAATTTCTAATATACATATTATTAGCTCGTAAGAAGTTTTTATAATAAACAACTTTTAAAATTAAAAAAATATTTCTTAAAAATATAATGAGTATCAACTTTTTTTGCAGGATTTGGGGCCCAACTAATAATTACTCTTCTGATATAGCTGTATTAACATTACGAAATCGTATAATATTTGAAAATCATATCCGACCTGCGTGCTTAATATGGGAAAATAATTATAATATTAATGATAATTTTAGTGTGATTGCTGATTGGCATATGAATAGTGTTGGCCTTTACGTTTCAAAATTATGTTCTATTGATTTATTATATGAAAATTGTATTGAATGCGATAAAAAACTTGTAAACCGAGAATATGAAAATGAATATTGTTCTGGCGATGATGGTAGTGCACTATTGGTTCCCAAAATTATTAATAATGTAACATATTATTATCTCTTGGGAATTCTTAGTAACACGCCACAAATAAGAGATACTAAAATTAATGGAAATAATTTTAATCGTCACACTATAACTTTTAACAATATTTTAAATTTTCAATCAATTATGCAAGAATCTATTAAAAATTCTAGCCGATACGAGTACTAATTATGTAAACTACAATAAATTATGTAAACTATAAAATATATTTGAACACAATAAAAACAACTTAAACTTTGAAAAAATATTTTTTTTTTTCGTCGTATGTTTTAAATTAAAAATACGTTTTTACGCTATTAACCGAACTGAGTATTTTATTAAAATATTTCGGTAATAATAATATTGCAACAACGTTAACCTAATTATCTATACCTAGCTTATAACATGAAATTTTGATAAAATTGTTAAAATAAGACACCTTAATGATCGTTTAAGACCCCTAATACTCGTAGAAGCATTTGACATAACGGAATTTGTAAAATTTCCAAATCCTTACACTAAATTATTTGATGTAGCTCCATGAATTTGAGTTTATTTAATTGAAGAAGAAAGCAACTTTCAGAGTTTTTTTCGAAATACCAACTATAAGTTATACATATTTGCATAAAAATTATTAATAACATATTGTATTATTAAAAATACATACATACATGTACATACACTTTAAAATTGAAACAGGACTCAAATAGAGTCTACTAAAATATTTAAATTTATAAAATAATACTACTCTATCATGTTTAAAGATATTAAATCTCCAAGCCATAAGAATAGGAATTTACTTACCTGATGAAATTTACTTAGCTTCATTCCGTCATAATTTCATTGTATTTTGATTAAAAAATGCCAGTCTAAAAATGAAATAAAATGCATAGAAATTTAATTTTATAACAGTAAAATTCATTTAATTTTACTTACCTATAATTCAATAATAATCAAAGGTAGTGGTTCTTGCTCTCAATTTTAATCTCTTTCTAATTTTTTTTTTAATAATGGTATGGTAAGCAAATATGTATAAAAAGCCAAAAAATCCAAACTTTTTGTAGACACTACATTAAAAATCCAGACAACAAATGTATTGTAAATTTTTTTATTCTTGTTGTTTTTCATTGCTTGTGGTTTGAATTGTTCGCACAATATTTCCTCCTGTTTATTAATATTTTCTTCTTGTGTTTATATTCTACTGTACTTTGAATAACCACTAATTTTAAAATTTATATAAATTATTTCAATTAGATTTTTTTTTCAGCTGTTTGACATTATTCCATGTTTTACAATTTGATGAATTCAAATTTGAATATTTTAAGTTTAAAACAGAACAAGTGCGATTATCCGTGACGAAATGTCAGAAATCAGAATTCTGTATGATCTATATATGTATGTATATTATGTACATATGTTAAATTTTATTAGTAACATAATGCATACAGTACATATGTACATATTTTTGACATTTTTTCTGTTTCCATATTGTATGCGGCATTATACGCAAAATACTGTAAAGTATTGATTTTGCCGATTTTAGTTTTCCGCTGTTGTATTGGGTAAAAAACGGAGATCATGCGGCGTAACCGTTCACCGATTTCGTTATGCTTTTACAATAAACAGAATATTATGAGTTTTTAACCTATGGTTTACTTACGTATAATAATAAACAATTGTGTTATACTAATTTTTGACAGATATGTCATATACAAATAACAAAAACAAATTAAAAAAATTCAAATTCTTAAACATTGAACTTTAAATCAATTTTATTTATTCTTACATTAATATTTTCCTCCCATTTACATATAAATATGTGACATGTTTACAAAATAAGCTAAATTTAAATAAAAGTAAGGCAGACCAGTGGTTTTTGTAGTAATTTTATAAAATTTGATTTCTTTATACTTATTTTATATGAAAATAATTTTATTCTAATTTTAGTTTGCTCAGTTGCTTGAAACCGTTCAGAAGTAAAATACATAGATACATATATTCAATAAATTGGTTATTCCTGCGTTTAAAAAATTTTCATCCGCATATTACATACACAAATGAACTCTTAATATTTAAAATGACCAACTTAAACTGGAGCATTTTTTTAATAAGATATTTTGGAGCAATTTTAATAATTTTTGGTAAGTTAAAATGAAAATGTGTTATTTAATTTCAATATTTGAAAATGTTTTACTAATGTGGAATCTAAGGGGCTTCCAAAGAAAACACATGAGTAAATTTTCAAAAAACTTGCAAATTTTTACCTGAACTAAAAAGTTAAAATATAATAATTTTATAATCAAAGGAATTTTAGTTTTAATTAAATGGTTAATTAAAAATATACAAGAAATCAAACTTTATACATAATTTTATTTTCAAACATATTAATTTTTTAAAATTTTATAAAGGTCTATTGAATTTTACATTTTGTTGTTATTACTTTAGTGATTGCATTTAATTTATATTGACGCTCCCTTTATTTTTTTAATTTTAGTTTTTAAAATTTAATTTAATTTTCAACCTTATCAAGAATACCAATCACAGTAATTTTATTTTTTTTTTAGAACAAACAGATTCATCTGATACAGGATGTTATATTCCAAAAAGAGATTTTCTTATTGTTAAGGATCAGTTTACTAACATTACATTAAATCCAGAAACTTACGTTCAATCAGCAACATTTATTGGTTATTATTGTTCAAAAGGATCATTTCTAGATGGAATACATTTAACAAATTTTTGTGATGAAGAAAATTGGCTTAATCCTCATCCCAAATGCATAAGTAAATTAAAGTTAAATAATACTATATTTTTAAAAATTTATATTGCACTGTTCATGTCTTTTACATTGAAAATCAAATTTGATATTTTAAAATACGTAAATAATTTTAAAAGATTTTTTTTAGATTAAAAATACGATCTCATAATTGAGCTTAAATCTAAAAGAAAAATAATTTGCATATAAAGATAATATGTTAAAGTATGCAACAATATATACCATTATAATATATTTTATTCGAAAAGTATACAACAATATATACCGTTATAAAACCTTTTATTTGAAAATGAGTGACAGATCTGAATTATTTCCGAGTTACAGACCTACTTCAAAAAATTTAACTTCTACTCACTTAAGTTTTTTTTTCATACACGAACTCCAAACAAGCAGTTCTAACTTTTAAATGTTCTAGCAACAATTTTAGTAGATACTTTTTTGAACCATTTTTACAGAATGGAAAATTCTAATTTAAAATAATTTTTCTTTTATCAATAACTTGTAATATGAGAGTGCAATAAAGCACTTCTCCTGACAAGCTTTCTATTCCCTAGACATTTCCTTATTCGGTAACGCCACTTTCTAAATGTAAGAGTGGATAGTTCTATACTCGTAATGATATTTTTAAATTAAAATAGACTTATTTTAGTCGCAACTTATTAAAAAAAAATATTTTAAAATTATTTTGTAGAAATGTGCCCACCTATAGTCGGACATACTATTAAAGTAAATTGCAATTTCAAAGGAAAAGGAATATCCTGTGACGAATATGTTGAGCCTGGAACTACAGCTAAAATAACTTGTGCAGTTATGTACGAACTACCGCAAAATACGCTTGTTCATGAAGATTTAATTTGTCAATTAGATGGAAATTGGGATTATTCAGCATTCACTTGTGAACAAACTTGTGGTACAATTGAAACAAAAACTGCATTTAGTTTAAAAAGTCAAATAACTAAAATTCATAAAGTTCCTTGGCATACTGCAATTTATTGGAAAAACGAAACAGGAAAATTCGAACAGTTATGCGGTGGTACAATAATTTATCCCAACGTAATTATAAGTGCGGCACATTGTTTTTGGAATACACAAACATCAAGTTTAAACAATGAATCTGATTATATTGTTGCTGCTGGAAAGTTTTATCGTGATTTTTATGCGAAGAATGAACCTGAAAATGTACAAATTAGAACTATTCAACAAATAAATACAGCTATTCAGTTAGGAAAACTTAAATAACTTGAAAATTTATAAAAATTAATTTTCTTTTTTAAGATTTTCAGGATCAGATTATGATTATTTGGGTGACATAGCAGTTCTATTATTACATGATCATATTGAGTTTAAATCTCATATTAGGCCTGCTTGTGTAACATGGAAAAATTATAATGATAGATTTATTTCGAGTAATGTTCCTGGAATTGTAGCTGGCTGGGGAATTACTGAAAGTGGAGCCAACAGTGAAGAATTACGCTCAGTAGAGTTATTATCATTAGATGGTGAAAGCTGTAAATTAAGAGTTTCAAAATTTAATAAAATTTCTAATGATAAATTTTGTGTTGAAACAAGTGAAGGAAAAAATGTTTGTTCAGGTGATAGTGGAGGCGGTTTTTTAGTTCCCGTACCTATTAATGGAACAATTTACTATCATTTATGGGGTATTGTTAGTAATGGTTTCAAAAATCAAAATGATAATGTACATATTTGTAATTCAAAATTTACTACAAATTTTGTAAACATACAATATTACAAAGATTTAGTCACACAATCTGTTAAAAATTTTTCATTAGTTACACATAATAATTCTGGTTGCCTTATACCAACAAAACGTTATCTTATTTTAACGGATAGTCAATCTGAAACCATACTAGAGCCGGGAACATATATCAAATCATTAACATCTGTTAAATATGCTTGCAAGGAGAATGCATTATTGGAAGGTGAAAGTCATACTAATTTATGTGATGGAAATTGGGTACAACCTCACCCCAAATGTATAAGTAATATATTTCATCTATATCTGCAATTTAAAAGCAAAACGATAACTTAACATTTTTTCTCTATATTATGTTTTTAGAGCTGTGTCCACCAATTAAAGCATTTAATATGAATGTTCTTTGTTATAAAAAAAGAATCGGAGTTTCCTGTAATAAACCCGTTCAACCAGGTACCGTAGCTAAAATAAGTTGTGCATTTATGTACAAAAATTTACAATTTCCAAATCTAAATGATGAATTGCACTGTGAAAAAGATGGTATTTGGAGTTATTCGAAATTCAAATGTGAACAAGTCTGTGGAACTATTGACAGTACGATTCCATTTAATTCAGAAATTATAAAAACTGAAGTTCATAATGTACCATGGCAAGCAAACATATATTATAAAAATGAAAAAGGAAAATATCAGCACATTTGCAGTGGTACATTAATTAATTCCAGAGTTGTTATTACCGCTGCCAGTTGCTTTTGGAAACATATAAGATCAGGGAGTTTCATGAATTATGTTGTCACTATCGGAAATTTGTATTTAGATTATTATGCAGAAAATGAAACTGAAATAATACAAAAATTCAACATATCTAAAATATTATACAACTCTAAGTAAGAATTATTTCGTTTATATATGTATCTAAATATTAACCTAAACAAAAAAATAAATTTTTAATTTTTAGCTTTACAAAAGTAGGAGAATTTTTCGCGAATGACATCGCTACAATAATTTTAAATGATAATATTATATACAAAAACCATATTAGACCGGCATGTTTGTCATGGAGAAAGTTTATGGATAAACAGATTTTAAATGATGTACAAGGAAAAATAATCGGAAATAAAAATAAAACAATAATTTCTACAATGCTATCTACAATACATTATGAATTATGTACAAAAATTTTAAATAAAAGTTATTCAATTATGAAAAATAAATTCTGTGCACAACAAAATATTGAAAATAAAATTTATTCAGTTCTACAAGGTAGTGGTTTCGTTGTTCCGGAATTTATTGATGGCGCAGTATATTTTCATCTTTGGGGCATTTCTAGTAACATAAAATCAATTATAAATAAGAATTTAAAATTAAAAAATCCTACCACAATATTTACAAATGTTCAAATGTACAAATCATTAATAACAAAATCTGCAAATTATGCACAAAAACAATTAAATTCAACTATTGATCTTGGTTGTCACATTCCACGAATACGCCATGTACTATTTTTGGAAAATTCTACAAATTCCGTACTAATAGCAGGGACATATGTTCCTTCATTAACCACAATTACATATGCTTGCCCCAAGGGTCTGTTTTTTGATGGAGATCATTCAACGAATACCTGTTATGGAGACTGGATAAACTCACATCCTGAATGCACAGGTAACTTTAGAATAACATTTTTTATTGTTTTTAATTATAGTCGTTTTTCTTTCAACAGAAATATGCCCACCAGTTGCACATGATCATACTGTTAAATTAAATTGTAATTATAAACGGAAAAAAATTTCTTGTGACAAACCATTTAGGCCTGGAACAATAATTAAAATCAGTTGTGCTTTTATGTATCAAAAACCTTTAAATGTACATGTTCATGATAAAATACAATGCCAAAGTGATGGTGATTGGGACCATTCTGTATTTAAATGTAAACAAATTTGTGGAATATTTGATAAAGAACTTTCAAATGAAAAAAACCAACTTGCAAATATTTATAGAGCACCATGGCATATTGCCATGTACCATACTACATATGACAAAACAATGTATAAATTTATATGTGCCGGTACCTTGGTTAAGTCTCGGGTTGTAATGAGTGTTGCTCATTGCTTTTGGCCAGATATTAGATTAGAAGTATTTGACAAAGGAATATATTCAGAATATAAGATAGTAGCCGGAAAACTTTTTCAAGATTATTATTCGAATAAAGACAAAGGATTAATTCAAGAAACTGAAATTATGGATGTAACAATCCCGGTCCAGTAAGTAAATTAAAAAAATTTACATGTCTAAATTCAGTTGAGCGTTTTTAGTTTGTTCCAGCTTTATATTTAAATTTTTCCACCAAAATCATTTTAAAATAAAGAAAAACAAAAAACCAATCCAATAAAAAAATTATATATTTTAGGTACGAGGGTCAGACATATGATTACGTAAGTGATATAGCTATAATTTTACTTAAAGATCATATAATATTTACAAATCACATCAGACCTGCATGCCTTTTATGGCAGCCATATGAAAAAAAAAATTTACCTGAGAATAAAGAAGGTAGAATTGCTGGTTGGGCACTATTAAATTTTGATGAAATGGATAAAGGTATACGTTCAATACAATATATATCAGTAAACGAATGTAAAAATTATACAACAGTTTATAAGGTTTCAAGTGATAAATTTTGTACCAAATTAGGTAAAGAAAATAACATTTGTTCATCTGGTACAGGATTATTAATTCCTGAAGATATTAATGGCACAACATTATATAATTTATGGGGTATTCTTAGTTTAGATGTAACAGGTTCGCCTAGAGACAAATGTTCAAATTCTGTCGTAGCATTTTCAAATGTACAATGGTATGAATCTCTAATTGAAACTATAATAAATGAAAAATTTAATTTGTAATTGAAAAATGCAATAATTTTGATATATTTCTAATAAAAATAAATATATGAACTTATAATAATACACGTTTTGGATTAAATACCATTATTAAAGTATTCTGGTAATGTTATAATTTTTTTTAAAAATATGGCTTATAATTTATGTACAAGTAAAAATATGGTACGTGTAAATAAGATATTATATTTTATTTATATAAATTGCTTAAAATAAATTTCTGTTGTATTATAATGAATTGTTCCTTAAAATATGTAAAATAAATAAGCTATTATTTATATAACTTTCATAATATAATTTATATATTTACAAAATATTTTTTTATTTAATAATGATTAAGCAAATCAACGTAAATTTTGTATTATTTAAATAATTATAATCAATATATAAATTTAGCATACATACATACTTTTTTTATGGTACGTATAAATAATGTTGTACTATAATGAATTGCTCCTTAAAGTCAAATTAGATTTTCAATCTAAAAGCGTAAGGTCACTTCACAAGAAAATAATTAAATTTAAATTCATCATTTAGTTCAAGAACATTATTTTTTGGAAAAAACTTCAATAAATAATTTTAGGTATTTAAAGACTAACTTCAAAGTTTGATATTTCAAAATAATTGAGTTATTTTAGATCCTTTAATTTATTTTATTCACATAAAACAAGTCGGAACCTTATTATAAACGAATGGAAGAAAAATTTCCGAATTGTGAAAAATAATAACTTTACTGAATTGAATTATAATTATCTTCTCGTTTTTTATATAACATAAACATATAAATATATTAACGTGCATTATATGTAGGGATGTTTTCATTGATTCAATTGATCTCTAATAGTCTCCAAAAACATTATGTATGTTTGCCAAAAATACCAAAAATTATCAGATTAAATTATGGCATTATAACGACTTTTTATTTTTAACACTATTAATACATTATTTGGCATTTCAGAATGTAGAAGAATATAATATAAAGAATATAATTATGTAATATATAAAAAAATATTATATTAAGAATATGTAAATAATTGAAATAAAATTAAAAAATGAATAAATATTTCTAATTAATTTTTATTGTGTTACTCTCCAATCCATTTCGTTTTCTAAAATAATATTCAAGAATAAGTTAAACAAAAATTATTGAAGAAGATTACATATTTGATATTAAATGTTTTCGGATCAGAAACAGATTATCAACACTGTTTGGGGTTGGCATTAACATTTTCAAATTATTATCCAATACGTAGCAGGAAGGCGCACTCCCGAAAAAAACGTACATTGGGCAATTACATACATTTAAAGTGAATTCGTGCAATGTAGTCATAATAACTACACGAAATTAATGTAATAAATTTCGATTAATATTTAAAAATAAATCAAAAATATTTTATTTAATGAATAAAAAAGTATATTTATGCTTACCCATACAAACTTGAATACTAAAAATAATTAGACAAAATATGTTCACGATGAAAAAATATTAATATTAAATTGAAATTTTGTTTATTTTTAAATTTATACACAACCTTTTAACTTCGATATAAAATTTAGATTAAATTTTGAAATTAATCAAAATTTTTGTGAATTTAACATATTATCAATAAAAACATTATTATCAATATTATTCAACCTTGAGTTTGAATAATGTTTTCGCACATTATATAAATTAGTTTACTAATTGCATATTTAACATTGAATTAATATTTTAAAATATAAATTGCTATAATGACTAAACAATTTATTTAAAAATATAATACTTACATCATTATGAATATAATTAAAAAATTTGAATAAATTTAAATAATGAAAGAAAATTTATCTTCATAATTATTTCATATTTCCTTAAAATTTCTTGAATGTATGTAGATAAGATAATTACACATAGTAAAAATAAAATTTTAGTTATTCAGTCTATTATTACTATATAAACCCGAAGTTGTTAATAATATTTTCAAAATATAAAAAACATTTAAACTTAAAAATAAGATTTCATAGGCAAAAAATAAGAAATAAATAAAATGAAATTTGTATTAGCAGCTTGTTTAATAATTTCTACAGTATTGTTGATTAAAGGAGAACAATTCGAATTAAAAGCAAATATGGATAAAGGTAAAAAATTTCATTTCATATAAATATTATAACATATTATAATTGATAAATAATTTTAAATTTAAATTATTTTTTGAAGGTATTTCATCTTCAAACCAATTGGGACGTTTATTTTTAAGTAAGTTTAAAATAATATTGCTACTAAATTTGCATTTTATTTAATTAAATTTTTCTTAAATCATTAATATACAAATTAAATTTAATTTTTTAGATCCTTGTAATGCAATTGCAAATAATTTCGGAATTGGAGATTCAAAATGTTCAGTTAAATGCAATTTTCTTGGACAAGAAAATGGAGGAATTTGCCAAGACGGTCAATGTATTTGCAAACAATGATTAAATATTTATTCACATTCCAATAATCAATATTATTATGTAGAAATATTTTTAATCAACTTTACATTCAAAGTAATAAAATGAATTCATTTTTTTTAATTAAAGCATAATATATCTATATATACATATATGTATATATATAATGTAGGTATATACATAATAAATCTATGAGAAAAATCTATTTATTTGTTTATTATTAAACTTTAGCTCTTTAATTATTAATCTTAAACTTTAGCTCTTACCTTAATATTATGTGGTTATGTCCATAAAATAAATAAGGGCAACAAAATAATTCATTTCAATTGAGAATATTATATTTGCAACTTAATACAAACAATTAGTTTTTGTCAATTCATTTTTGATTGATTTAATTTTAAATAAAATTAAATTTTTTTTGAAATTCGTTCTTAAAATTTAATGCAACAATCCCCTCTATTATGTATATCGGTATCGGCCGATAAACGATAATTTATCGGCAAAATTTTGTGTTTGTATTACCAACATTGTTTATCGGTAAATTTTATCGGAGTCGGGAAAGCTTTTTTTCCTGTATAGGAAACGTATTAGCTGGTATTATGAAAACGATAAATTGTCGGATTTTCACCGATTTAAAAGCGGGTACAAATTTTTAGACGACAGATTTTTTTTTTTGTAAAATCTTCATTTTATCAAGGAAACTGGTGTAATTAATTGCTTTTTTAAAATGTAAGCATTTTTTCTAAATTATTTTCTTTCAAAATGTTATTCATATATTTTATTTAGGAGTAAAATCGTAAGCAACAAAAAACAAATTGCGCGGTTAGTAGAAAAAGTGGAAGAGGACTTAAACCTGGCAAGGAATGATAATCTGAAATTCTGGATAAACCTAAAAAATGTGTACATATTATATAAATAATAAAATAAAATAGGTACATAAACATACATTTTGTTGTCTAAACCCAATGGATTAGTTGAATCTCTTATATGTCGTCTTTGAATAGCTTGCGTTTCTTCACTTACTACCGTTTCTTCACTTTCAAAATATAATGCGCGCGACATTTTCCCGATATATGTATATTTTTATTTTACAAATTTAACAGAAAATAATTTGCTTACAACAACTTTTTAGCACATCAAAACCAAATTCAAAATAGTTTTAAAAATTTTTTGAAAATAACTTTTGAAAGAAAACAAATGTCATTAGAAAAAAAAAAAAAAACTTTTTCTCCAATTTACAAAAACAAAAATTTGTATGAAAAAGCTTCTTTTAATCGGTTGAAATATTTTTATCGGTATCTGTTCATAATACAGAAGAAACTTAAAACCGATTAGAACTGCCGATAATATATCGGCCGATACCGATGTTTATAATAGAGGCCAGAGGGGAATATTAAACGCAAAAAGGTGTTGCCTATGTAAGGAAAATATCTTCAATACAACCTAGTAAATCTATCACTTCTTCGAATGTACTTCATATAGTATATGTACAAAATATATACATAGTAAAATTAATATTTATTAAATAAATCCTAATTAATTTTTCCATTCGTCATTTTCGGGATGTGCAATTCTTGTACAACGACTAAAGAACAATTTTCTATATATGTATATGGAAAAATTCTTCAAACGTAAATTTGTATGCAACGTATTTTTCAAATGAGAAGAATTTCTCCGTATTCCTTGCTCTTTTTTCCAAAATATATACAAAATTTTAACATTATCTTTATTCACATTGTTTTTGAAGGTATAAGGCTAAGCATAGTTGACATTTTGAGTGCGAAAATCCAATTGAAAAAATTAGTAATCCTATTAGAAAAATGCCTTACTCATATTAAAAAAATGAAAACTCTGATTTGGAAGTGAGTAGAAGCGAAACGAAAAGTCAAGATGCACAATTAGTAAGTTGAACTCTTAAAAAAATGTAAAAGTTTATAATTTTAATATTTTACTCACTAAAATATTAATTTTATTACAAGTTCGTTCTGAAAACAAAAATATGTAAAATAAATAAGCTATTATTTATATAACTTTCATAATATAAATTATATATTTACAAAATATTTTTTATTTAATAATAATTAAGCAAATCAACATAAATTTTGTATTATTTAAAGAATTATATAAATTTAGCATACCTACATACTTTTTTTATTTGTATTTTGTTGAAGAACATAAGAAAGAAAAAAATTATAATGAAATTACTATATACACATATATATATATTATGCATATACTTACATTCCTTCCAAATATAGTTTAGAATTTAATAAAAATATTTAAAAATAAATCCAAATATAACAATAATAAACAAATATTTTGAAAAACTTAATGAACTAGTTGAATTACATAAATCTCCTTGACAAAAGCACATATAAACTTTTTTATAATTATAAGTTGTAAATGCACAACGATCTTCTGAATCATCTGGACCTCTTTGAACACACATTCTTTGTACTGCCATGTCATAATCTAAAATTTTTTAAACATATTAATTGAATTAGTAAATTACTTAAATTATATTAATATTTAAGATAGAATACATACACATATTACATATATTTGATTGTATATATATCTAGTTCTATTTATTCTAAATTTTTCTTAACTAATAAACTTTATATGTTATTAAAAAATCAAAATAATTTACCATCAACAGAATATGAACCACCTCCTTCAATTACTTTACCGCACCATCCTGAGGCACATGGAATAGCTTCAATACCTGGTTCTTTTTCAGCTTGTGTTAAATTAAATTTAAACGGATCTTTGCAACTTCCTAACTCACCTCTTGAACGACATTGATAACATCTGCGAAGTAAACCTAAAAATAAATTAAAATTCAACTTTTAAAATTATTAATTCTTATAATTTTTAATTAAACAAAACTGAAAAACAACAATAAATTTTTGTCAAGTTTTAAAAGTTATTAAAAATTTATATTTCATATTAAGTGTATTAGTCATTCTAATAAAAAAAAAGGCACAAAATAAAAAAAAAGCCATTAAATTGACACAGAAATATTTTTTTGCTTGCAGGCAAATTAAAAGACTTTAATGACCATTTACAATGTAAGCGAAAAACTTTCTTGTTTCTATTAACATTTTTTTTCTCTCAAAAGACAACAAAAAATCACACCTTCAGAGTATTGAAAACTTAAAAATATTATCACAAATATCAAGCAATATTTAATTAAATTATTTAACATTTTATAAATTTCTTGAAAACAGGCAGTGATATACTTTAAAAAAAAATAAATAAAATTGTCTTATTTTATTAAAGTTGTATTGTTGCTGTTATTTCATTGCCACAAATATAATTTAATTGTCATTAATAAATAAAAACAATGTGTTACCACAATGTTTATAAACATTTCTACATAAAGTATGACATATAAAGGTTCTCGGCTAAGAAAATATACAATTTATTCGTTCTTTGTAAAATAGACCTGGTGTCAATAAATTGTACAATAATGAGAATAGCCACACATATTTTAATGTTTCTAAATGGAATGGTCGTTTTCGATTTATGAATAAAACATAACCTTGACTTTTTTAGTATAACCAAAAACTATATTCAAATGTTAATTTTCAAAATAAAAAAGAAATTTCAAATATTAAAATTAAATACCAAAATAGGTTCGAACACACAAAATTTAGCTGTTACAGATTAGAAACGCTATTTCCACTTACCGGAAAAAAAATAACGTAATTGCACAGATCATCTACGAATTTACTCAAGGTAGTATAGTTGTGCTCAGTTGCCGCTGCTTATGAGTAGTTAGAGCATATAAATGGAACACAAATATTATTAACAACAATTTATTAAACTGCTGTTAGTAAATATATAAAAATAATTCTAAAATGATAAACTGATTCTAAATTTTGACTTATGTATTATGCTTCCACTTATTGACTGCGTTCAACGACGCCTAAATTTTCATTTTAAAGTGTAATAAACAAAATAAATGCCAAAGAACATTTTTGTTCTTTGCATATAAGCATTACAAAAATAGTTCAACTTTTTTTAGTTAAGATCCCTTTTCAATTTCTGTCTTATATTCTTTATTCTTCTTATAAAAAATTTTAATCATATATTACTTAAGGTTACAGTCTAAAAATTTCTAAAATCTGCTTAAAATTAAACTGACTTGGGAAAAGTTTTTTGGTGGAAAAAACACATGTCATATCATTTCATATAAAATATATACCAGATGACGTCAATTTCATGATAAAAATGATAGATGTCATCAATTATACACCTTCTAAATTTTTAGATCATAACTTAAATCTTGTTTTTTCAAAGGTAAATAAAGTTTTACAAAACAAATGTTTTAAACGCCAAAAAATAACAAATATAAAGATAATACTTATTTTTAATTATTATATTAAGTATTGGGAAATAAAGTGACACAACGCTTAAATGAAACGATCGTTTCACCAACTAAAGTACATAATTTCAGTTACATGGAATAAATTTATATTAAATAATAATTTTTAGAGCTAAAGTGGAAATGCCTGAGGATGTTTTTGAAGATAGTTTCGATTGTAAAAAAAGAATCAAGGAAAGCATAAGTGAGAGTGTAAGTAGGGTACATTTAAAAAATTAAAATTTAGTATGATGCATTTAAAAAACTTGAGCGATAATACGTGCTATTCTAGTTTGATAATGAAAAACTCATAGAAGTAATGAGAGATCTTCCGTGTTTATGGGATAAATCTGATTTAAAATATAAAGACAAAAAATTTAAAGAAGAAAAATGGGAAGAAATTGCGGATCATTTCAATACTACAGGTTGATATTTAAAAAATTTGTTATATCTATAATTATTCTTTTAATACACTTTTAGTAAAAATCTGCAAACTAAAGTGGCGTAATTTAAGGGACAGATACCTTAAGGAGAAAAGAAAGTCTAATACTTCATCTGGAAACAAATTTCAATCAAACAGTTTTTGGAAATATAGTGACACATTGTCTTTTTTAGACGAATCGATACTTCCAACAATGTAAGTATCTACCTATGTAACTGTGTTCATATAAAACAAATTTATAAAAAATAATTTTGCTTAGAACAATTAATTATGTGGAAATGCCTGAGGATGCTTCCCAATATAGCTTCGAATGTGAAAATAAAATTAAAGGGAACATGAGTGGGGTTGTAAGTATTAACTGTTAGGATTAAGTAGGTAGGAAGAACCTACCTACATTTTAAAACTTTAAGTGATAATACGTGTTTTTCTAGTTTGATAATGAAAAACTCATAGAAATAATGAGAGAACTTCCGTGTTTGTGGGATAAAACTGATGCCAAATATAAAAACAAAAAACTTAAAGAAGAAAAATGGGAAGAAATCGCAGAGCATCTAAATACTACCAGTTATTATTTAAAAAAAAACATTGTTACACCTATAATTACTTTTTTATTATATTTTTAGTAAAAATCTGTAAATTAAAGTGGCGCAATTTGAGAGACAGATACTTGAAAGAGAGAAGAAAGTCAAATACTTCATCTGGAAGTAAATATCAGTCGCATAATATTTGGAAATATTGTGACACCATGTCTTTTTTAGACAAATCCATATTCCCACCAATGTTGGCACTTGTTTCTTTTGCATTTGATATAATATTGTAATAAATTATTTTATTTTAGATCAACTAATAATACGGAAATTAATGAAGTTGTTTTCGAAGATAACTTAGATTTTGAGAACGATAACAGTTCTAACTTAACACCAGAATCATCTCGAAAAAGAACACACAGCTCAACAACAGATGAGTTAATAAATTTAATAAAAAGAAGGCTGCAAGAAAAAGAAGATTATTATAACAAATCAATTAATAACAAATATGAAAATTTTGTAAATATGGTTTGTGAACTAATGGATCAAATACCCGATGAAAAACATACATCTATAAAAATGGAAGTTCTAAACTTTTTACATAGTAAAATTCCAGAAAAATTTGAAAGAAACGAATTTTTTTAGTAGAAAAAAAATTAATTTTGGAATTTGAGTTTTAAAGAAGCTACGTATATGTGTTCGTATGTAAAATGTTTTATAAGTACGCTGGTAAACTTTGTTAGTTTTTCTAATAAATAATAGTGTAAATAAAACTTGATCTATACTTTGAATTAATTTTTTTTTAGACATATTGAATTCAATTTGAAAAATTGAATTAGAAATTGATAGAATGTGGTGTGCATTATTAAAAAATAGCGATTTAGATTTTCTACTAGAATGTACACAAATTTTTGTTTTGAAATTTACATATGTAATCATTTTTTTAAAGTTTATATTTTAATTTTCACTTTTTTACTTTAATGCTTCGATTTACTCATTCATTCTTTAATCTAACAAAAAAGATCGCAATTAAGGGATGAACGCATATTCAGACAACACGAATACGTAGTTTTTCTAATTCGAAATACAAATCAATAAGAACCTTAATTTTTGGTTTACCGCCACAAAATTTTTTCGTCAAATTTTCGCCTGGTCATCAAATATACATTTAATGTACAATTGTTATACTACCACGTCATAACAAAAAAAAAAAATTTCCATGCTGAGATCTTATTTTAAATAACTTTGCTAAACAAAAAATACATATTATGTTTGAAATTAGTAAACTAAAAAATAATATATTGAATATAATCTTAAATCTAACTTAACAAAAATTTTGATACAATAATAACAGGCAAAATATGATTTATTGGAGCTTTAATTATTATAATTTCAAAAAAATCAAAGTTATATTTGTGAACAAGCAAATTTAGTATGTATATAGATAAATATATATATGTAAATGTTACTTTTTTAAATAAAAATTTATAATTTTGTAAATTAATTATAATTTAGGAGCAAAAATAAATAATTTTACAATAAAATTTTAATAAAGTGGCAAAAAACTCGATATTGAAAAAAAAAAAAAAAAAACGAAAAGAAAAACACTATTCTGCCATTGCGATATCATCACTATCAACTGCCTCAAGTGCATCTTCAATTTCTACAACATTTGCATCCTCTTTAATAACTAAAATTTCTTCATCACTATCTACAGGTTCACAACTGCTATCAGTACCATTCGATTTATCATGATCATGATCTTTACCATCGTTAGTTTGCGGTAAAATAACTTGATTTATTTGTTCCTTTTCGGAATTTTCCTGAAAATTAACTGATAATTGAGAATCCTTTTCACTGCTGTCCATATCATCATTCTCCATTACTTCACCATCTTCATCTGATATTTCAATTGAAAAAACAACTGTTTCGGGTGTAGTTTCTTCATTGTCCGTTTGTTGATTTTTTATAGTATCTACAATATTAAACAATTCATTCATTTTTGTTTTGTAGGCTTCGCTTTCTTTCAATAAATTGTTTTGATGAATTTGTGCTGTCGCATATTTTTGTTTTAATTCATTGCATCGATCTATCAGAGAGGATCGCCTAATTTTATTTTCACCTGATTTCGACCTATTTCCTAAATAATTTTTATATTAATATACATATATATAAAATTCAAAATAATATTATAAAGCTTACCATTATTTTCTCTGGTAAAATCTTCGGAGCTAGCAGAACGAGACGTTTTTTTAGCTCTAAGACAAACTGGACAAATTTTTTTAGTGGTATTAAAGTATATTTTTGAATGGCAAGAAGTATGATAATTTTGCTTGCATTTCTTGCAACGATTCAGTACCAATAATTCATTATTACGAAAACATACATTGCAAAAAAGTTTTTCATCTGGGGAAGACATTGAAGAACGATCTGATTTATTATTTTTATTATTAATAATTTCATCTTTAGCACTTCGTCGACGTTTGGCGGCTCTTCGCGAAATTGTTGGGGATACCAAAAATATTTTCTTTTTTTTCTCTTTTGGATAAGTTGCTGTTTGTGCCTGCAAATAAAATTAATTACAATTTTAAAGTCTCTAACTCAGATGTGAAAATATATATAAAAACATTCTTACATCAATAGCTGCAAAATTTAATGTGCCATAATGAAAATCTTTGCGTTCATTAAATTGAACATTGCGGCGTCGTCTTTTTGATCTACGTTGCTTTAAATATGCGCTATGTTGCAACGTATACAATCCGAATTGCCTTAAAAACATTTCTTGGTTTATTTCAGATATTTCTTGTTTTTCTGGCTCAATTGGTGGCAAAGCGTTAATTCCATCTAAAGAATCGTCTGAAGACGATAATACGTCAGCATATTTTGAATTCTTTTGTTGCTCAGGAGACTTTTGAGTTATTTTGATTGCAGCAGCGACCGCTTTACCTGTAGATGCTGGTGATTGGCTTGTTGGTGTATCCTTCTGATTTTTAGCTTTATTTAATGCTTGCAATAATTTCATTCTACCAATATTCATAGCTGGAGATGGCTTAAGTGCAATCGAAGACTGATCTTCAACTTTGGATTCAATTTTTAATTCTGGTTTTTCATCATTTTCAAGTACGGTATTAGTAGTATCGTTATTTAAAATTATTTTATCATTTTCATTTGACAGACTATCATCTTCATTTTTTATATCTAAACTCTGATTTGAATCATTTAAATTTGTTAAATCTCTTTCGCATTTTGGTTTCAATAATGAAACTCTTTGTTTCTGTGGTAAGCCATTAACATTCGCATTACTGTTACCATTACAAGATGAAAAATTTATTTTAGTAGCATTATTTAAAACAGGATTTTTAACATTCAATATCCGTTTTGGATCATCTAAAGAAAATTTTTTTTTCCATTGATTAAATGATTTCCGAGTTTTTACTGTAATTGCTTCACATGGATAATTTGGATCATCTACATATTTTGAAAATGTATGTCGTAAAAATGTGTTATCAGCATCTCGATCAATAATAATATTATTTACAGGAAGTGATTTATAAAAGTCATCAAGTGATTTACGAAGGCGATATATTAGGAATCCTTGTTCAGCATTTATTTCATATATTTCTCTTTCCAAGTCATCCAATAATTTTCGAACGGCCGATAGCTAAAATTTTAAAAAAAATTATTTTTATTAATTTAAAAACAAATGGTTTATAATTTATAACTTGGACAATATCAACATCTAGGTATTTTGCTATCATTTATCAATTCTAGGTATATAGTTTGGTTTTTAAAAATTCATTAAAATAATAAATTGAATAAATAGTAAAAGGATTATTAAGGTTATCTGACGAGCGAATACTGTTTTCTTTGTGCCTTACTTCTAAAATATTTATCTTAAAAGTTCAAAAAAATTTTAATACATACATATTTGCAAAATATTGGATATGCAATTAAAAACATTTGTTTGTTTACTCGTTTAACGCGCTACTCTTCCTGTTAATTTTTTTGTCTATTGTTCTTATAATTACGACCAATTATTTGAAAAGCATGTTATCATACGAAAAGAGAAAATAAAAAAAATGTACCTACAATTTTTCATACGTATTTCCAAAAAGTATATAAATATGAAAAATTTTTACACCCCAAAAACTAGATAACAAACTGCTCTTTACGTATTCAACAATTAATCAATAATAACCGCAACAAAACAATAACGATCGAATAATCAACAATCTGTAAAAATTCCTAAATTTTAAGAATCATGCATCGGTTTTACATACCTTATTACTTATAAATTCTGCCATGTTATAATGAAATCTTAGTATTTTCCAGAATACAAAATTTTTAATTTAAATTTAATAATAATAAAGTTAACAATGTACAGTGCAATCTACTTTTAGTGAAAATTAATTTATTAGTTTTATATATTATCTTCACATTTAATTCATTATAAAAATATTTATTTCCATTTTTAATTTAACTTTTCTTTAAATATAATATTGCTGCGATATAAATGTCGCCAAAACAAGGGTACAAACGATCAACTATTTAGAATTATTACTTGAAATTTCTTGCAACTTTTGTTTAGCTCTCTTTGCTTTTTGTCTTGTGTGTTCTATTTGAAAATCTTGCACTGTTAAATTTAACCTTTGTATGTTTTCCATTATGAAATCTTCTTCTAAGACTGGCTCTGGTGGGGAACGTAATACTTCTAATGATTCACATAATCCATTGCACTGTTTTCGTGTTTTGCTGCGCCCAAGAGATGCCCCTAAAATAACTAATGCGACTTTAAATACAACTCTGATTCCTTCTGCCAAAAAGCAATCCCAAACACGTAATAAAGTTTCCCATGGGAGAGTACGGGTCATTGCACATAAAAACCAATCTGTCATATATAATAAAGGTTCGACCTTATGTTTTTGTAAATGCCTGTATACAGCTGGGCATGTTTTCTTCAACAAACCGTTTAATATTGCTGCATCATTTTGTAAAACTTCCAAACCAGGAATGAAATAATCTTCAAGATAAACATCGCAAACACTGACAAAACACCAAAATGCATCTTCAGCTGGCATATGCATTAAAAGGAAAGCTGCTATCGGAGCCTGAGCTTGACAGAAACCAACTTTTGGGTTGTAAATTGAATAAGCTTTCAAAACATTAAATAATTCGATTTGTCCAACTTTGTCTTCATCTAAAAACATTTCATGAAATGGAAATTGTCTGTGTTTATCTTTTTTAATTTCTTCAATAATTTGTGGATTTCCTGGTTTCTGTAATAGTTCCTCATATAAATTACCATGTTTCTTCTTTAATAAATATGCACCAGATAAATAAAACCAAGCTTTTGGTCTAATAGATTTCGGTATACCTTTACGGCATCTATCTCGAATTTTTTTGTAATTTTTTGACATATATGCTGACCAGTTATTTAGCATATGAAGCCATTTTTTTTCTCTTGCAATAATTTGTGCTTTCGACAATGGTTCTTTACGACTTTCTGATCTTTGAAAACCACCATAAAATCCATTACGATCCGGACAACTTGATGCAGTTGAACATAATGATACAGTATCTACAGAACGCGGTGAAGCTGCCATTCTTATTTATCAAATTTCTATATTGCCCATAAATATTTTAATTAGTGTTTTGCATTCCAACAAATGAAAATTTATTTTCACCCAATATGTACAATTAAGAATATGAAATTAATTAAAAAATACTTTTTTTTCGAATGTGCAATACTCTATATTATTAATTAAATACTCAACTTTCTTTTAGTATCGAAAATAAGATTTATATTTCTTTTTTATAATTGAAAATTCTCTAAACACGAATTTTTATATTAATCATAATAAATCCACATATACGAAGTCATTAATAAAAGTAAAAACGGAAACTTGGAATTCTTGACGTTTAAATGTCAAAGTCAAATATATTGAGGTAACCATTACGTATAAAATTAAATTAAAATTAATTTACCCAAAAAAAACACAAAAATCAAATTTTTGTATTTTTGAGATCAAATTTTTTAGAATAAATCTGATTTTTATTTTCTATCCTTGATCTAGACTGGAATTTAAGTCCCGATATGTTTATTTAATTATATATGCTTGATTAAAATAAAAGCCTATATAATTCTATTACAAAAATTAGAAACATTAATATTTAATACAAAAAATATTAATTAAAATTTTTTTTTTTCGAAATATTTTTATGGGTCAAATTAATTAGTGGGAAAATAAATTACTAAATTGTTTTATACAATTTACTTCAAAAACGTCAATGATATAGAATTAAATTAGCGAAATTAAAAATGAGAAGTTAAATTTTTATTATTGACAGAACAGTTGGTTTAAAGCGATACTTATGGTCACCTTACTATAATACATCAAACTATATATACTACAAGTTATTACAACCATGCTTTTTAAAATTAATATATACATATATTACCTACATTTTTCAGCATAATTCAAAAAAAAAAACTTGAATTTTATATATAAATATCTGTATATATGTGTGTTACTGATAGATATTAAAATTTGTAAAAATTTCTATCAAGGAAAGTTTTTATATGGTAACCACATGAAATTTTAGCTAAAAATTTATATTTTTAATTGTTACCTATATTTACCCCATGCATTCATTTATGTAGATAAAATATATACATACCTATATACTTATGTACCTATGCTAAGTACATACTCAAATAATGTTATATTTTATTATTTAAGATACCTTAATATCCTAATAATTAAATATCCTGAATAACAAATATTTCCTATGTATAACATATAATTTCAAATAAAAAAAAATTATGTCTTAATTATAATGTTATAAGAGCTACAAAATCAAAAAATGTCTAAAACCATACAAATTTTTATTTTAAATCAATTAATGTTATCTACGTAATGTGTGTAGATAACTTGCAAAAATATTACCTAAGCAGGTAATATACCCACTGAAAAAGAAACTGTATGTAAAGCACAAAGATTGCTTATTATAACAAACCTACATATGTAACTAATACTTACAGCCGTTGTTAGTTTTTGTCCATAATTTATGATAACCATCTGAAAAATATAAAGATTTTTTTTCAAAATTTTTTTTATTCATTGTTTTGTTTTTTTTCAAATTATTAAATATTTATTATAAACTTATTTTAAAATATCAAAATTTAAATGCCATATTAGTAGTTCTATATTTTAATTGTACACACATAACAAAATATAATCACATAATACAAAATGCATAAGGTTGATTGCTAAGAATAAAAATAAAAATTAAAAAATCATTTCATACCTGGTGAACTTTCAAATAAGTCCTTAACGCTTTCTGACAATAAATTATATCATTTTTAATTTCAAATGGTATCTGATATTTTATTAAAACATTATTATAATGTGTATTAAAGTCTTGCTTCGGTACTACAATCTCCATAATATTTTATCTTCCTTATTTTTTTTTATAGCAAAAATTTTCAAATAAAAAATTAAACCTTTTCAAACTGTATTTATATTTTTAATAATTTTTTTAATGTAAACAAAACTTTAATTTATTTTTTTAATTTTTCAATCAAAATATTAACTCATTTTCCTTTATTTTTATTATTATTGCTCTTGCACATCATTAAAATTTCAACGTTGATTTTTTTACTTTTGAGTAAATCTATATAGACCGCACTTCACTTTAATTTTGAAAGGTAAAAAAAAAATAATGATGTTTTGACATTTCTTCAATGTTTTCTAGCAGTTTTCTAGTAGTTTTCTAGCAGTTTTATTAAATTTCCTGAAAAAAAAGCCGTTTGTAAAATAAAATTTTGAATTACAATTGTGAATTTTTTAAATATGAATTTAATAATTTTGCCAAAAAATAAATTGGATTATTTATATAAGAAATAATTTCATTAAATTTTAACTGTTGAAATAAAGAAAGGATTTATTTTTTTTAATTAAGGTTTTAATAAAAGGTTGGGTTGGTCCTTAATCCATACATACATACATATACAGATATACATATTTATGTATAAACAAAGTTTCATATTTTTTAAAGATGATGCTCTTGTTAATTAACATTTTATGATAATAAATTTTTATACAAATTATGAAAATGCTTAAATCTACACGTTTACTTTTTTGAAAAATTATCTATTTTATAATATTTTATTTAATTTTTTGTTCAACTAACTTTTAATAAAAAATTAGAACATTTCATATTATTAGTTATAGAAGTATGTACAGCAAAAACAAAAATTTGAAACTGCTATAATTTTTATAAATACATAATTTATTTAGAACACAAACCAAAATTAAATATGTAATTGAAAATCTAGAACAATTTATTATTTTTTGAATAAATTTGAAATATTCATTAATAAAATTAATAATTATCTTAAAATAAGTCAAAATATTTAAGGTTTTTTAAAATTTTAATTAGAATTTTTAAGTATAAGTAAAACCAAGGCAAAGAGGATATTTAGTGATAACTAGAACCATAAATATAATAAATATAATAAATATTTATGGTTCTAGTATTTCTTTATAATAAAAATACATAAATTAAACTGCAAGAAAATTTCATGCGTATAATAGGAACAAGCTAGAAAACACGTAATATATGTCTACATTCTCCATATTAATTTTAAGCGCGTTCATCATGTTGACTATAAATCATAATTAATATAAATTATGAAAATTGAAAATCAACAGATTTGTTTACAGCTTTTACTTTTAAAATAGTTTGATTGGTGATTTGTATCATATTTTTTGATTATATTAAATTATCATTAATGTATATTGAAGTATTTTGGTCAATCGAGAATTTATTGTAATCAAAGTTGACTTTTTGTATGGTACATGTGAATGTATATATGCAGCTATGTACAATTTTATTCATATGCATATGAATGTTGCAAAAAATTACTGTATTTTTTGGTACTCAACAGTCAGCTTTTCTTCAAAATTTCTTTCCAGATTATGATCAGTGGCATTATCCTTGCCTATTTACTGCAATATTGCAATTCAAATTTTGGGTAACCAACTTTTGATACCAACCAAGGATATTTTGCAATTAAAAGAATATTAACAATAAGACAATATTATAATATAATATTAAGACTTAAGAATAATTCAAACTACAATACAAATGTATGTATATATGTACATAAATACATATTTCCAAATATTTTTGTAACATGTTTTATTTAGAACTTAATTGGTTGCTTTGTCCTTCAAATATATGTAAGTATTTTTAAAATGTGTGTTAAAACTAAAGATTTAGTATTTCTAACAATATACGTGCATTCGTTTTATAAATTCATCCTTTTCTATTACATACAAATTTCGATATAAACAAAAAGATTTTTTTCATTGGTTCAAACTTGATTTGGCTCAAAAAGAACATTTTGACGATTTTTTTCGTAATAAAACATTTAAAGAACAAATAGCCATGGGGAGACGAATTGTGAATGACTAATATTTTAATTGTTGTGAATGTTGACCGTATGCCAAACTGTCCAAATCTTACAAGACAAAATTTAAATGTATTCCAAAAAGGAAAAAGTTATTTAAAAATAAATGGATATTTAATTTGATCAAGTTATTTCATCTTAAGGTTTTTCTATGGAGAACATATTGATGTCTTTATATATCAGCACTTCATCTCTTACTTTTGTACATTAAAGTAAAGATAGGTACAGATATCAACTCTTATTACTCCTGAACATTTTTTTTATAATGAAAAAATAAGCTTCCAGATGACATTTTTACCTTCTTTATTGAATCCTCTAATATGACTTTTTTGAAAAGTATGATTCAGAAAAAAAAAAATTTAACATACATATTTGGAAAGTCTTAATTAAACTACTTATAATTTTTATTCGGCAGCTTTAACAAGAGCTTCACAACATTCAACGGCAATGGCAGCTGCAGCGCGATCCTATAATAATTAAACAAAACAATGTAATTTTTTAGCTAATTTGAATTTTACAAATTTACTTCGTCGTTTGCTGCTCTTCCTAATTCTTGTTGATACTGGGTTAATAATTGCCTACATTGGCTTAAATCTAAATCTTCAACCAAATGAGCTTCCTCAGCAAGTACTTGTACTGATGAATCTTCATTTACCGATACAGATCCACTGGATACAAAAACTTTTAAAACTTTTCCATCATTTTGATAAACTTGAACAACTCCTGGCTTTAATACAGCTAAAAGTATTTACTAAATTAATTAATCAAAACAAGAAAACTTTCAATCCAATTATACCTAGAGTGGGAACGTGTTTAGCTAGAATACCAAAACTTCCGCTGAATGATGGAACATCAATTTGTCTAACATCAGCGCTGTCAAAGAAAACTTTGTTTCCAGCGGCGAATGTTAATTTCATTTCATCAGCATATCCGCGTGATTGCATTAATCTAGCACTTCTAGAGGCTAACATGCGGGCTCCCTTCATTGCGAAAGACATTTTTGTATCTAAAATATATCAAATATTCAAAAATTCTCGTCATATTATGTAACTACATAGGTTATCATTATGAGAAAAAAACACTAATTAACCAAGCTTTTATATTTTTGATTTTAAAATATTAGTCCCAATTTTTTGACGATTAAATAAAATAAAAATATTAAAATTTTCTAGATAATTGTACAAATTTTAATTTCTACTTACACAATTTTTGGTATTTCAGCAGACACACTAGGAAAAGAACGGCAGCAAATGTGTGTGTATGCAATTTGTTTTGCTTCAATCTGACATTTCTTTATAGAATCTGTCAAAATGTTGCAAAATAGGTTAAATTATTGTTGACATTCTGTTATTAGTGTTACCGCTTGTTTTTTTAGCAAGCGGTTTAAAACCGTTAGCACCTATTTTTTTAACTTAGCGCTAAACGAGCAAAATATAAACATCTGCAAAGTAAATACAGATGCTGCAGACATGCAAGTTTTTTTATAATGCATGTGTACATGCTTTTATATATTAATATAATACAATCAAATTACTGCAAAAGGTTACATGATTGTTGCGGTCCTTATTTAACAATAATACAAACCAGAAGCCTTACCAAAATGACGAAAAAGTGCATATGTAAATGCCAAAGGAGCATAAGTTCTGCCTATTGAGAAGAAATAGAAATATCCAGTTGTTTGTAATAGTGACTAATAAAAATTGAATTTTCCAACAGAATGGAATTTTATATACCAAATGACCACAAAATAAAAATAAAAAAACAATATTTAATGATAAAGATTTCAATAAAAAGGATGTATTTAAAAAAAAGAGCATATGCATCAAAAATAGAAAATAATTAGAAAAATTTCTTTCTAGTGGAATCAAATAGAATTTTTGTGCGCAGATTGTGTTAAAATATCAGTTTTATTACTGGTTTATTTATTGCACTTCTACAACTACATATACACCATTCTTTTCAAAAAATAGAGTGTAATAAGGAAAAACTTAGCTCAGCTTAAAAGCAACGAAGTAATAAACTCACATTTACGGTACTTTTCGTTTTATTCTTAATCAATCAGTGTTTTCACACTAGGAGATAAAACACACGTCAGTGTTTTATCTCGCTAAAACACTCATTCCAAAAATATTGCTTAATTTTCTTACTAATAATAAACACTAAATACACAGTAATTTTTTTTGCGTGAAAAATTTCTTTCGACGTTGGTAAAAGAAACGTCAAAATAGATCTCAGTTGTTTTTCAATTTTGGGCAAAAAATATGTTTTATACTCTTCATACTTCATTTTGTGTAAAACACCAAAGACACACTTCTTCGTTATTGTTATTTACTGATATTGAGTTGATTGAATTTTGATTCATTGAACCTTTATTGATTGAATTTTGAGATTGCGTCAGCAAACGGAGAAATGAAAGGCAATTGCGGACGATTTACGATGCTAAACAACTATACAGTATTTTGCATATAATGCCATACACACATTGAAACATATAAAGTCAAAAAACAAAACCGACAGCGGTAAAAAAATTAGGCCGCTATTTTTTTAAGTATGCGTATTCTATATTAATTTCGACATTTCGCGCCAGGAAATAATTCTTTTTCTTGATTTTGAAAAATGCGAAAATGGCGTGAAAATTTTCTTAAATAGTGAAAAAATTAGTTTTCCATAAAAAAAGAAACCGAAGATATCGTCAAAATAAAAGTGACCGGCCAAGATAAGTCATTTATCTTATGATAAATAAGTCATTTATAAAAACTAGTCCTAATCGGATTCAGGATTCAAAACATGAAAAAAATATGTGAGAAATGCAATGATCAAAAAACTCACGGTTTACAGGTAAGAAAAATTTAATTAATTCTTTGTTTATTGCCTATTTATTTAAAACTACATTTATATACATAAGTGCATACATATATAAAATTTTTTAATTTACATAATATACATAATATGTATGTATGTCCATAAGCATATAACTTTTACTACAATATGGTGGAATGTAGAATTTATATTGTTGTTACCATCACATACCAGAAACAAAAAATATACTCAAAACTTTCTTTAATTACTAATTATATTTACATTACATTCATACAAATTTTTGATTTACTCTAATATGGTCTCATTCATTTTGTTGTCCAACCATTATTTCTATAAGATGAATGGAAAAAAACTGGTTCATGTATGACTTTAATAATTTTGACTCGATTGAAATGTTGGTGATGATAGTGATTTTGTGTGTTCGGGAAATAATTTTTATGATTGTGAGTTTCTAAAGGAGTTGAATGTAAAATTTTAAGAATCTTAATATTTTTATGCGGATGAATAATATGTGGATTGTTATAGATCTTCCCCACAGGTGCAACTTGATGAATAATTTTTAAAAAGTTAGTTGTATGAGGTACGGTATTTGCTGGGTTTTGGTGTTGTGTTGGAAAAATTGAATTTGTAGGATACGGTAATTGTAGTGGCTGAATTATCGGAGTGTGGGTTTTACGATGAAGAAATGATCTAGAGGCGGGAAAGTAATCTTGATGATATATTGTATTTTGAGGGTATATAACAGTATTTTTATGGTCGATAGGATAATATTGTGAGGAATGAATCGGAATTGGCGACTCATAAAGTGTTGGGATTGATGCTTTGGGTTGTTCATGTATGATTTGAATTATTTTCTCTTTATGATGAGGTACGTTTTTAATGTGTGTTAGTTCAGGATTTGGTATATGTTCTTTTATTAATTTTAAAATAGTATGACGTGGCTTGTAGAGTGGAGTAGCTTCTGCTGGTGGAACAGGATGAAGAATAGTTCGTGGCTCCTCGTGAACTATTTTTATTAGTTTTTCTGAGTGGTGATGATTATGATGTTGATGAAGATCGTTTGCACTTAAACTTTTTTCTACTCCAGTAGTTTCTGCTTGGTGCTGATGATGCTGCAAGTCTACCGATGCTGGTATTGGTTGTGGTAAAGGTTGCGGTAAAGGAGGATGATCTTTTATTATTCGTAATACAGGAGATGGTTGAGGAACAGCAGTTTCATCTTGGTATGTAACTGTTGGCGCTTGTTCATGTATAACACGAATGACATGCTCTTCAGAAGAAGGAACGTCGTCTAAATCATCTTCATTAACCTTTACAATCTGTAGTTCTGATGAAGACGGCGAAATTTGATCTGAGCCATACTTAGACACGGGACTTAAAATGTTATTGCTGATGCTCCCACAAAATATGAATGCGGGGAATAAAACTCCAACTAAATGTAACGTGTAATATAACTAAATAGGAAAATTAATGAAACAAAAATTTTTGTTAATCTTTTGAAATCCAAACTTATATTTCAAATTAAAACAAAATTTTAATTTGAATAATGTTACCTTCATAATCTGGTTTCTTTAAAAGATAAAAATTTAAAAATGCTTGCAATTGGATGTCTAAATGAAATTTGATTTGAAATTAGTTGCATCGTTGACTATATATAGAAAATTGAAGAGAGTTTTTGTATTCAATTACTTTATAACAAAAATTACTTAGTTAACAATTAAAGAAAAGAAATAAAAACAATAACATTAGATTTTATAGCTCCAATTATGTAAATTTGTTGGAAAATTTAATTTGAATAGTCTTAATAATAAAATTTATAAAGATGGACAATATTGCAACTGAATGGTTTTAATATACAGTTGTAAAGTAAATTAAATCAACATTTTGTTTTGAGAAGTTGCTAAAAGAAAAAAAAATTAACATAATTGATTTAAAAAATTGAGGTTTAAAATATAGTTTTGAAAATTCATCAGTTCATCATGAAGGAAATGGAAAAAATAATTTGAATTGGTTTTGAAAAAGACTTTGTACTAAAAGCAATATAAAATTATACAAGCCTCATTACGTATTTTTATTACATTTTACTAAAATTAATTCATGACACATGATGATGAAGTAAGAATGAAATTTATACTAAATAATTAGAGTGAAATTTTTTGAAATTGACTAAGTAGGAAAGCATTTTGTTAATAATAATTGTAACTCGCACCTTCCAAATTTTTCACTTTATATATGTACGTAAATAAATTTGTGTGCATAATTTTTCTGATTCCTTTAAAATATTATAATTAAAATTTTGATAACACATAATCGTTTACAAATTACTTCAGAAGCCTATATTGTTATGGTAAACATAATGTTAAGACAATTTTGATTGTGCAAATTAATGCAATTTCCACTGTTTATATGTATTTATAAATTTAATATTAAAAGGAAAGAGAAATAAAAAAACTAAATCTTTATTTTTTTTGTTTAAATTAGGCACAAAATATATTTGTCTTATACTTAACAATCAAATTATTTATGTTATCAAATAATGAGTGTATCTTATTTAATTGAAAGGTGTTTTAAATGTTTGAATTCGAAGTGAAAAAAAAAATATTGCAAAAGAAGAAGATTTACATATTTTTTTTTGGTTCATTTTCGGTATAGAATTAATTGTTTGGTTGTGTACCTTTCTACTTTTTTCAGTCACATTCTTTAGTCACTTGCCAAATCAGAATTCTCATTTCTCTAATACGATTCTAATTTTTTTCAATTGGATTCTCTAATTTCATATCAAAATATCAGTTAACATTTTAAAATAATAATTGAAATTGCAATTTTCAAAAGTTAAGTGAAAAATAAAATTACATGAAAAATTAAATTATGCCAAAATATGATACTGATTTAACCATTTCTTATTCGGTGAGTAAAATGAGAGATACAAAATCAGGCTTCCATAATATTATAAAGATCATTCGTATTATGCGGAAATATTTTCATAATAGAATAATTTATAATTTTTAGTAAAAATCCAATATCAGTTTATTGAGAAAGTTAAAAATTAAAAAAAGTAAATATTTCAATTCACTCTGCTAACACACTCTGTGTATGTCATACCATTTTTTTTTTTTTAAAATATAATATTACCTATAATATGTAACAATAATCATCAAATAATAATATGTAAATGTGACAAAGTTTAATTGAAAAAAGGTGTGTAGAAGTTTTAAGTAAATGTGATGAGTTCATATTTTTATTATTTTTCTTTTAATTTCCTATTGATTTTTTTATTTTGAATTTAACAATAAGGCTATTGGTTAAACATTTTTATAATACAATAAAATTAAATTGGAGCAAAATTGCAACTTGTAATGAATATGTAAGTCAAATATAATTTTTGTAAAAATTAAAATACATAATCTATTATCTAAGTTATTATTGTGTAAAATAAAAATAAATATCACCTAGATTTGAATTTATTGTTTAATGCGATATATTTTGTCCTATATGTTTATGTTATCTATTTATATTACGTTACATAATTAGTATATTCAATTAAAAGTTAAAAATTTAAAACATTTGTATAACTAAAAACAGTTGAATCTCGATTTTTCGTCTACTATCATACTTTACATTTTCTTACGAACTATGTGATATTATAATGACTGTTAACTAGTATCAATAGAAATTTAAGTGATAAGGCTTAAATAAAAAAAAAATTATTGATGTGATTGTAGAAAATTAAAAAAAAAAGGACAGAAATTTAAAAAAACATGGGATTTTATACAGGAACAAAGAAGGAATTAGGAACATTTTTAAAACATTAGGAACTTTAATTATAAAATTTGTAATAAATCAAAAAGTTGAGCTTTTTTCAAAATCTTTCTTTAATAAAAATCGGATTTTAGTAATTTTAATCTCTAAAATAAGAAAAAAAAAAAAAAAAACTGAGAAAAAAGGATTGATAATTTTTGCAAATTTTCGAATTCCAATTATTTTTGAAAGAAAAATACTCGTATAAATCACAATTAAAGAAAAAAAGAAATTGCATTTTCGTAATGTGCGTCTTTTCTACACGAAATTTACTTTAGCAAAAATAAAGTGAAATAAAGTGCCATATTCAAATTGAAAGGAGTTTTCATTTTAAAATTTTTAAGAAAATTAAAACAATCTACTTTTAACCTAAAAGTGGAAAGGAAATAAAATCAAAATTTTCAATTTCCCAATTTTTTTTTTATGACTGTTTTAGTAAATATCAAAATTTGATTTTAAATAAGTTTCACTGTTTACATGTAATAAGTTTAATAATAAATTCAATTGAGATTGACAATAAATTTATTTTTAAATATTTTTTAAACTAATGAATTTATTAATAAAATAAAATTTTCTTTTATATAATATCCACATGCGCTACTATGTTTATTTAGCAAAGTTATAAACTCTGGTGGATTACTAAAATTGCATAAAACTTTTATATCATTAGACCTTAATTGGTTGTTAATAAATTATATTCCTAGCTTGCTTGTAATCAATTTCTGTTGAAATAATAAAATTTTCAGAACAACCAGGCCCTAAAAGTTAATCTAAACTAAGAACCAAATCCTAATTATAAAAAAGCATATTGTTTTCCAAAATGTTATTTTTGATTCACTTATTTTGTAATCAGCTACGTTAAAAAATGTTATTACTAAAATTAAAAGGTGCAGAATCTTAAAAAGGTTTAAACAGTTTTCATATTACGACACCGAAAAAAATTCCGTTATTTAAAGAAATATTTCGAAAAATTCATTTTTTAAATACTTGTCGTATCTGAACTAAACTTCTCTAGCGGAAATCTAAATGTCTCCAATAAATTTACCATTTTAAAATAAAATTATATGTATTATATAATTAAATTTAAATTTTCTATATAAAATAAGTTTTTAAAATATAAAATTGAAATTGAGGAACTGTTTCTTACCGCATCGAAAGTATTTGAAGTTAAAAGAAATTTGATAACCAAAATTGTTTTGTTTTACAAAAATTTATTTTTACTTTATTGTCTTAAAAATAATTTTTAATTATTCTACTTATGCTAAGTATGTCGTGTTGCGTTAGGTGAAATTTTCAGTTTTAAAACTGATATAATTTAATAAAATTATTTACATGATCAGTTTTTATGTTTTATAATATTGAGTAATTTTTTTCGTGAGTTTTTTTTTTGTCTTTTTTTTTGTTTTTTCTTTGTGTGTGTATTTGTTGAATGTTCTTCACTTATGGCATCTTTTGGTATAGAAGCTATATATAGTCTAACAATATTATCTAATATAATAATTTGTTAAACGACCTACTTAAAATTAATTTACATAAAAACAAATGAAATACAATTTAATAAATGCCTAGATTTTTTTTAAGCGCTAAATGAATCTCATTTTTTGCCCCAACCTCCCCCATGATGACCACCGTGATGACTTTCTTCTTGAATAATTTTAACTACTTTAATTTCTTCATGATGTCCACCACCGCCACCGAAACCTCCTCCATGTCCATGTCCAGCTTCTTCATGAATAACTTTTACAACTTGTTCACCGCCACCATGACCGCCGCCATGTACACTGGCAGCTTGTTCATGTATAACTTTAACAACTTGTTCTGCGGCGGCAATGCCTCCACCATGACTGAAACCAGATGCATAACTGCCACCAGAAACACCACCACCATGTGATTCTTCATGTATTACTTTTATAACTTGCGCAGCACCACCACCTCCACCACCAATAATAGCTCCACCACCAATGGCACCACCGCCAGAATGTTCATGTACTACTTTAATAACTTGTGCAGCTCCTCCGCCAATACCACCGCCATGGCTAAAACCAGCTGCGTAGCCACCACCACCTCCAGCAGCGAAACCTCCTTGTTCATGAACAACTTTTACAACTTGGGCACCGCCGCCGCCGAAACCACCAGCGGCAAAACCGCCACCTCCGGAACCACCGACAAAACCGCCTTGTTCATGTACAACTTTGACAATTTGTGCTCCGCCACCACCTCCATGCCCAATACCAGCTGCACCGGCAGCGAAACCTCCACCATGCCCACCGCCACCACCAGCACCATGATGATAAATATTTACAACTTGTGGGCCAGCATGTTTATGTAATACTTTTACGAATTGAGGTTGAGGATGTTGTTGTACTTGTGCACCTGCACTACCACCAAAGAGGCCACCAAATAACGGATTAGCTCGACATACCGATGCAAAAATTAATAAGCAAATAATAATCTGGAAATATTTACAAAAATATTTATGAATAAAGACACGATTCATTCTATAGTTTTCATTTTGTGAATTATTAAGCTAATTTATCCAAAATATATATTGTATTAATTTATGCATTTCATTTTTTCCGCTTAAAATTTTTTTTTGTTTTTATTATTTTTTTTTAATCCTTTTTGTGACATGCAACAGTATTAATCCTTTTAATGTCTCTGTTATTATTACCTTCATTTTTTCGATACTTTATTTATAATTTTTTTTTACGATATTAGTAATCGAATTGAAAATCTGAAACTGATAACAATGCCAGAGAATCGATATGCTTTTATAGTCCAAAAGGTATAAAATTTTTTTTTCCAAAATTCATCAATTAGAGAGATGATTTGAGTTGTTGAATTTTTGTTATTGTTAAAAATTTCTTATATTTTTTGCTTAAAATTCATATAAAAGAAAGTTTTCGTGACCAATACAATAATGATTGACCACATCTCGTGTATTATTTTTGTTGTTGTTGTTTTTATTGTAATATCTAGCATTTTGTTTCAGCAACATTTTCTAATATACGCAGTGCAAAGTACGTACACACAAACATGGAGGTATATAATTATAAATATTCCCTAATTCGTTACCTTTTATAACAAAATGAAAATCAAAATATCGATTGAAATAAAGCATGATAAAAATAAATGATAAAAAAATTTTTTTTTTATAAATTATGTATAAAAAAATGGCCTAAAACGTCACAAATTTTGTGAAAATTTAACAGCCAAAATAAAAAATTTAAATGATTATGATAATCAAAATAAAATTGAAAAAATAACAATAAAAATAAAAAAATCTTATATAAAATGATGTTGAATTGGTTTTCTTCCTTTTTTTGTTACAAAGTTCATAACACATCAAAATTTGTCTATAAATTTAAGCAAAAAATTTAAATAAAGCTTTCCAAATTATGCATGCGAAATTAATTAATAAATTGAATCGATTTTAGTTTTTTATCATCAATTGATATTTTGTTAGTTTAAAAGTAAGATCTTGTTCGATATCAGGCGAGGGGCCCTACCATATTAAATAAATGCATCAAAAATTGGGCGCATAAAAATGTGATTGAAAATACAATTGCTACCGCAAGCACGTTTCGAATCTAACGTCTGGTAGGATATTTGACAATTCTACAAAAATGAAATATGAAAGTGAAAGATTCTGTTTACTTAACATTTAAAAAAATGCATTGACAACTTGGATAGCCGGCAGTATTCAAATCATCCGCCGAAATTTGCCACAATTTATTAGCATTAAAACGACAGTTGAAAATCGCACATGGCCTGCTGCTGAAGGATGCTTAATTTTTTATACATTTTGACCAAAATTAATTATTTTTTATTTAAACTATTCGTGTGTCACAATTTTTAAAATGTTTAACAGCGCTATTTTTATCAAAAATATAACAATAGTTGTGAAAATCATCATAGGATATAGTTATCACAGAAGAAAATACAGTGTTAAATTCTTACTTTTAAGTATTTAAAGAATCATCCATCTTTCATCAATTTCCGTCAGAAAATTGAATGAAAGGGAAGTGGAAGAATTTATATATATATGATTGTTCTCAGCCTACAATTGAACAGCCAATCAATTCAATCTACAATTGAACAATAAAACCAGTTAAAGCCAGTTGAAAAAAAACGAGTCTCGTCCTTGTCTTCTATACAAATAAATACTCATGAGTCCGGAGCCGACATACAGTAACCTTTAAACGCTTGTGTTACAGGTAATTGATAGCTATTTATTTTTGCCTTTTCTAATGAATTAGATCTTAGGTCTTACCTACATATATATATATACAAGCCAATTTTAAGATAGACTAATATGATCAAATTGCTACATCGTAGGAGGCGTATATTTTTACAAAAATCTTTTCTTTATTTCGTTCTGGTTCAAACAGTTCGATACTCGTAACTTAACATTTTTTCTTCTTGAATACAACTGGCTTATAACAGTACGTTTCGAACATGTTAACTTTAATTTACAATGCCTAATCCATAAATGTTTACACATATTAACATATTGATATTACTTTCTTTTACATAATATATATATGTACTTTGAACAAAGTATCGCCAGAAAATGCAACACCAAACTCAAAACAAAATTTGGTATCCAATTTAACGACAAACCAATTCAAGAGATAAAAATGATCTCGTATCTTGACGCGATCAACAACAAATTTTTTTTTCTTATTTTTCCCCAGATGGTCCAAATTAAAGATTTAAAAAAGTTAAAAAAAAAATACAAGTAGCCAAAAAAAAAATCTAATTATGGTCATATATTAAACTGAAACTGCTCATCATCATCATCATCTCTTGTTATTTACCATCATAAAATGATGATGATGATGATGATGATAATAGAAATGATGATTTTCTTAACACATGTTATTATGTACTTCCTAATAATTAGAAAAAAAAAACGTCTAAATCACTTGATCGCATCCAAGCCCCCTCATCATATTTCACATACAAAAACCGCGAACAACCATCAAATTGATAGTGAAAGTGATTAACCCGTTTTTTTTTGTAATACTAAAACACAATAGAAAAACCAAAACAAAAAAAAATAATAATTTCTAATGTTTTGATTCACTAATAAATTAAAAAGCAAAAAGAAAAAAAAAGACATTCCAAATTTTGATAAAAAAATTTGGTGACAATAATGATCTCACAATGCAGGTTGCGTAAAACTTGCGATTGGGTGAAAAATTTTAATAATGAATTTTCTAAGATTCTGTTTCTGTTTTTTAAGAAGTTTTGATTGCGTATGATTTTAAATTCGTTTTTTATCCCTTTCCACCTCAAAGTTAGTCTTGGGTAAAGGGCAATCAATTTTATTTTTTTTGCTCTTGTAGGTTGTAAATTGCAAATTGGAACCATGATTCACTAATTGATTCACTCGAGAACCTCACTTCTAATAAATCCGAGCAGTTCCTTCTATTGTGGATGAACGCTTCACACTCATTGAGAAGCTGCATTTGGGTCTCCTCCTTTTCCTCAAAGAATCTGCAAAAGCCGTCAGTTTTTAAACTTGCAGTGTGCCCCGCCAGGTAACCCGTGAGAATTCTCATGTGATTCATCGGCATCCTTATGGTCGTCTCAAAATGGTCCCGATTAAAACTCCTCAAAAGCCTTTTGCTTACCGAAGCCTCGGATTCGCCCGGTTCTTATAAAAGACGTTATATAGGGACATTTATTTCATTGAAATTTCATTGTACATAGTTAGACAAATAGACTGACAAACTAATGCTAAACAATACTTTTCATCAATTTTAAAAAGTGAATTTTTGTTGCACTAAATTGAGAAAAGTTTCGAATAAAATGTTTCACGCAACATTTATAAAAATCAAATATCTTTGTTCCACGATGTACAAATGTATGTTTGTATTAAAGATTTATTATAAATGTATAAACTGTTTATATTATGTAAACGATATTATATTATATGTATACGTGCATATAAGTAAAATATAGATATATGTACCTAATGATGTTATTTATGTCGTAACAGCTTTGTTACAATTGCCTATTACGTCATTAAACCGGTTCAAATGGGAAATACAACCTACTTGTAAACACTTGAAATCAAATTTTTCCTCATTACATTCCGGTACTATGCAATGATACTTATATGTATGGTACTTAAGTTGATTTTCTATTGATGCTTTCGTTATTGATTTTTTTTTGACTTTTTCAAAATTGTTAATTAAAATTTCAAAAATAATTACAATAACCAGAATGATAAGAAAAAAAATTGTGAAGTTGATTACAATAAAAATAAATTTAAAGTAAATAAATTTTGAATTTTGGAAACATAAGTGTGTACGTACGCAAATTGGTGAGAGTGATATTTAAAATTAGTGCGAATCACTACATTATTAAAAGTGAATAAGGTATTACAGCCCCTTAGTTATAAATAGAAAGTTAAATTAATAACTTAACATTAATTATGCCCCCTAAAAATTATAAATAAAACTTGGAATTTCTTTCATGTTAATGTTATTTGAGGTTACGCATCTTCAAATAATTGTAATTTTCTTACAAATGTCACCAAATGTGGCTTCACTCAACTTTTCAAAAGCCAAATAGTTTCTAAGAGATGTATGAACCAAAGAAGCTTTTGCTTGTCAAACTTTAATGAATAATCCCGATTGATTTTTATCTCAATTCAATATCTGGAAAATCTTTAATATAGATAAAGAGGTGATGTCAAAATTATCACCTTTATTATCAAAATTTCAGAAACTAATATTTTAAATTTTACTTGCTTTTTGCTGTGTTTTCACGCTTCAGTGAGAGAGGTTGGATACCGAGATCATAAATATAGAAAAAGAGTTGCGTTAATTAAAAAGGTCATTAAAATACTCTCATCAAATTAAATGCTTTCCCATTTTTTTGAAGCAGCTTGCACTATTTCAATTTCGGTGTTCGTATTTCAATTTATGTAAATAACTTGTTTTAGGACCATTTATAATTCCTCATAATTAACAATTAGTTTGATAATTTTAAAAATTGCATTAATTGGGCAGAAATTTTTTTTTTACAAATGAAATATCAAAAATTTTACTTTTGTAATTAACTTTATTTTTTTTTTAATTTAATTTGTATTAAATTGCTCTTCCAATTCTTTTACTTTATACACTGAGCTATAGAAGATATTGGAGTATTACGAAAAATAATTCACGTAAGATTCCCCACGAAGTAATCAATCAAAATTTTATATCATTTTGATTTCGTTTCTTTTTAAAAACAAGCGTGTGTTATTTATAAAATCGAAATTTTTATTCACCATTCAACTTTTTTTTCTTCATTTTTCATTTTATTTCCTATGATCGAAAATGTGCGTTGTGCAGGTCAACGAAATCAAATACCCACAATTGAGTTTTTTTGTAACTTACAATAATGGAAAAAATCGATATTTACGGTATTTGCTAAAATATAATTTCTTTTAAAGAAAAAAACAAAATATGAAATTGAAATATTATTTAATTTGATATAATTAATGATTTTATTAAGTATTTTAAAATTAATTGCTAATTAATTGTTTATAAAATCATAATTATGCATGTATAGAGAAAAATGATTGAAAAAGGGTTTCGAAACAATATTAAATTTACACGCTCAAAAAATTATATAAAAGCCGATTCAATTGCTCAAAAATAAAATTCAAATTATCATACT